CAAGAACGAGTCTTCCATCCATCAATTCACTCCCCAAAGGGCTGGGCCAGGCTGGAGCACAATCCAGAAGCTTCTTCCAGGTCTCCCAAGTGCATACAGGGGCCCCACTACTTGCCCATCCTATGCTGCTTTCCCAGGCACATTAGTAGGGACCTGGATTGTAAGTGGAGCACCTGAGATGCAAATCAGCACCCATATGGGGTGGCAGTGTTTCAGTAAGCAGCTGCTTAACTTGCTGTGTCACAAAGCTAGCCCTCAGGGATATTTGAAATTTATGCATAATTTTTTTTTCATAGTGCCCATTTTCCATGAACTTTGTGGAGAGCCTTCATACCTGGCTTAAGGCTTGTTTGTGTAGGTTGGTTTAGGATTCTTGGGTTTAGAACTCAGATTTTTTTCTACATTTGAAGCAGCTGGAGTATCTCCATTGAGAAAGCTTCTGTAAAAGTATAAGTTGTGTATAAGACGTGAGAACTTAGCAAATATTGGGTATTGGGTTAAATCTGCATGTGTTGGTTCATGTGATGTTGTTACATGTATCTGTATGATTACAGATATATGCAGATAGTGTAATTACCACTTGCAGTGCATTTTTTCCTTTAAAAGAATATTTTGAAGTAAAGAAATTACAAAAGTTCAAATAGACAAAACACTAATTTGCCTATTAAGTGGAACCATATTTAAACATTGTAATTCTAGTGTTGGTTATAATTCAAATACATGTGACCTTATTTATTATTAGTATAACACCTTTCTGGAGTTAAAACCTGTTTAACATTTCAAATTTGGCAATATGCATACATATGAAAACCTTTTAAAATGGGCATATTCTTTGATCACTCCTAAGAATTAAGGCAGGTTGGGCTAGGTTGCAGCACCCATCAGTTTGTGTGGGAGATGCAGCTGAAGGCTGAAACAACCAGGCAGCTGCATCTACCAGTATGTGTGTTGGCTGGTGGAGGTGACAGATTGAACCTGACCCTGCACTGGTTAGCACACACGAGTCAAGTCTGAGTTCATCCCAGGCAAGGTTTCTTGGGGGACGAGACAACTAGATGGCTGGACTCAAACCCCAACCCCAGGGGAAATCAAAAGATATGTGGTCCAACCTTGGGATGCATGTGTCTGGATTGGGCCTCCTCAGTTATTGATGCCTATACAGTGGACAGCATGACCAGATGCACACAGGGATGTGACAGCCAGCTCATCTAAACCAGCAGGGGATGGTGAGCAGCTCGCCAGAATATGGAAAGCAGAACAGGTTGGAGTACTCTCCCAGCCAAGCTTTGCAACATGTTCCTGGGCCTGTGGATACATTAAGATGGACTTGGTACACCAATAAATCTTGCGAAAAAATTTCTCAACCCTGATGCAACAAAGCTGATCAGAACTCAGAACCGCTTAAAGTAACGCCGTCAGAATTCTCTTCCTTACATCGGGTCTCTAAGGTGTCATCAAATGACTGTTACCCATCCTCAGATGCTGTTGTAGTTTGACAGCAAGGAGTAGTCCCTTCCCCTTCCCTGCTGTGGACACAGGAGAGAAAAAAAAAAGGGAAACATTTGTCCCAATCACCTTCCTCCATACCTGGACCTTCCCCACCCTAATTGGAGACCCACATGTGCATGCATCCCTCTCAACTATGTAAACAATGGTAAAAAACAAAAAACAAACAAACAAACAAAAAACCCTTAAACATGTTTCTTACTCTCTAAAAAAGAAAACTCATTTGGTCAAGTTGTTATCATTGAGTCGGTCCCCACCCACTTTTTTTAACCTCTTAAGTCTCCTTACATTGACTCCTACAGATAGATCGCTTCATCTTTAAACACTTCAAGGTCAGAGACCAGCAGGAAATCTGGGAAAGTCAGTGTAGGGTCCAACTAGGAAGAGTTGTGTTGAGCATGGGAGCGATGAAGAGAACAGCATTTTAGGAAATAGTACAGAATTATGCCCAAAGAATCTGAATGGAGAAAGACAGAAACAGGATAAGACAAGGAGTAATGTGATGGTTCAAGACTTACAGGAAAAAATCCATCAGAGGTGTCCGCGGTGACCCCCTTGGAAGGACAGCTAGCAGGCGGAGATTCAACATAGGCAGTACTGGTTGGGTGAATTTATTAACTGGAGATGGAACTTGTTGGAAGGGAGAACTAAAGTGACTCTGGGTTTTTAGCATGTAGTTGAAAGGGGAAAAGATAAGGTTCCCTGGGATGTAACGCAGACATGAAGGTTTTAGTTTTAAGTATGCTGAGACTGAGGCTCTGGGAAGATTCAAGGACCTAGTTAGGAATTTAGGACTGGGATTAAGGAGTTAATTAAGTAGAGATTCAACATTTCTGCAATAGGGGCTAGAAATAGGATTTTTGATTTAGTTAGGTGAGTCACCAAGTATTGGTATGTCTTCAGTAGGAGATACAATGGGAGAAGGGAAGGAAGTACAGGATTCAACTTTGGATGGAGCCTAAGGTAATTTTCAACTAGAAGGTAGAAAATAAGAAAAGGAAGGGAAGTGGGAAGGAGAAGTCAGAGGAGAACCAAGATAACGTAGACCAGTAAGGGCCAGGAAAAGAGGAAATGTCAAGAAGGAAGTCGGGGGCCATGGCTGATTAAGCCACCACTTGTGATAATGGAAGGCGGTATGGGATCCTCACTTCAAGACCCAGCCCCCGCACTGCTGGTCCAGCTCTCTGCTAGAGCACCTGAGAGGCAGTGGATGATAACCCAAGTCCTGGGCCCCTTCCACTCACGTTGGAGACTTGGTGGAGTTCAAGGCTCCTGGACCAGCAGATGGAAACTGCTCTCTCCATCCTTGTCACTTTGCCTTTCAAATAAAATCTTTAGTTTGGTGGCTGGGCACATAATTTTTGTGTGTGTGAAGATTTGCTTTTATTGGAAAGGCAGATTTACAGAGAGAAGGAGAGACAGAAAGATTTTCTAGCCACTGGTTCACTCCCCAAATGGCCACAACAGCTGAAGCTCAGCTGATCCAAAGCCGGGAACCAAGGAAACTCTTCTGGGTTTCCCACACGTGTACAGGGTCCCAAGGCTTTGGGTCACCCTCCACTGCTTTCCCAGACAAACAAAACAAAAAATTAAAAATAGGAGTTGGCGTCATGGCTTAAACCTCCATTTGTGGTCCCAGACACAAAGGAGCTGGATGCCTGCTCCCTGCTTGTGGCCTGGGAAAACAGTCGAGAACAGCCTAAAGCCTTGGCACGGGAGACCTGGAAGAGGATTTGGGCTCCTGGCTTCAGATTGGCACAGCACTGGCCGTTGCGGTTACTTGGGGAGTGAATCATCGGACAGAAGATATTTCTCTCTGTCTCTCCTCTTCTCTATGTATCTAACTTTGCAAAAAAAAAAAAAAAAAAAGGGTTGGGGTAGCTGGATGGATAAACTTGAACCAGCACCAATATGGGATGTTGATGCTTACAGGTAGAGGATTAGTCAATTGAACTGTTGTACTGCTTCCTGGATATATAATCCTAAAATAAACATTTTTCTTAAAAAAGAAAAAAAAAAAAGGAAAGGGCCTGGTGCAATGTTTCAACGGCTAAATCCTCGCCTAACAAACACTGGGATCCCATATGGGTGCTGGTTCATATCCAAGCTTTTGCATTTCCCTTCTAGCTCCCTGCTTGTGGCCTGGGAAAATATAGAGGATAGCCCAAAGCCTTGGGACCCTGCACCAATGTAGGAGACCACAAAAGAAGCTACTGGCTTCAGATCAGCTCAGCTCCAGCCATTGTGACCATTTGGGGAGTGAACCAATGGATGGAAGATCTTTCTATTTCTCCTCTCTAAATCTGATCTGCCTTTCCAATAAAATAAATAAATCCAAAAAAAATTTAAAAATTAAAGAAAATAAAGAACATGAAGACTGGGTTGAAGCTAAGGAATCTAGCCCATAAATGGGGGATTAATGCTCATTATGTGACTAATTCACTGCTGAGTCAATAGGAAAACAAGGACAATAATGTTCTTCAGTTCAACTGAACAAATGCTTCTACTGATCATCACAAGTGCCTCTCCTCTCCATATTTCAGAAATGTGGGTAAGTTGTCATGAATCAGAGCTAGTGCTTGTGGTGTCTTTCAATGAAAAGAAGATAAACTTTGAGATTACATTGATTGCTATCAGGAAGCCTCAGAGCAGCTATCATTTCCTCTGACCCCCCAGTTTTGGTCTACAGTATAATACACAAAAATAGGAATAATTCTCAAGACTTTGTTATCTTCAGAAATTTTGGTGTCACCATCATGGCTCCACCTCTAAGCATGGCATCCCATATGGGCACCAGTTTGTGTTCTGGCTGTTCCACTTCCCTTCCAGCTCCCTGCTTATGGCCTGGGAAAGTAGTCGAGGATGGCCCAAGGCCTTGGAACCCTGCACTCGCGTGGGAGATCCAGAAAGGAAGGAAGGAAGGAAGGAAGGAAGGAAGGAAGGAAGGAAGGAAGGAAGGAAGAAAGAAAAGAAAGAAAGAAAGAAAAGGAAAGAAAGAAAGAAAGAAAGAAAGAAAGAAAGAAAGAAAGAAAGAAAGAAAGAAAGAAAGAAAGAAAGAAAGAAAGAGAAGAAAGGAAACAGAAAAGAAAGAAGGGATGAGAAAAAAGAAAAAAAAGGAAGGAAGGAGGAAGGGAAGAACAGTAGTGGAACCTAATGACTTGACTGCTGGCCATTGAACTAAATGGTAGCTGCAAAGGAAGTGAACTTTTAAATGTTTTCCATTGGGTGGAGTGTTCAGTTGATCTTTGAAGTGTGTGAGTTTCACCTCAGCTTTAGCTCTCTGTGACTCAGCTGTCGTGCAGTCTTGTGCTTCTCTGACCTCAATGAACTCTGGGCCATCTCACCCCAAGGGCTCTGTCCTCAGGGGTGTTAGCCCACCTCAAATGCTCCGAGGAGTGAGCTGAAATGTTTGGACAGAGAAGGACTCTTGGGGGAGAGCTTATCATCTCCTCTTTCTCAGAAGTGTGATTATTCTTGATTTTTTTTTTTTTCAGAAGCTGAAAAGGCAATTGACCAAGTACAAGGCAGACAAAACCTATCCCACAACTGTGGCCGAGAGGCCCCAGAATCTCAAGAAAAACAGATACAAGGATATTTTGCCCTGTAAGTGCGATCCATGTTTCCTGGGAAATTTGCCTTCTTCCAAACTCCGTCATTGCTGTCTGATTTTACTTACTGTGCCCTGGTCCCAAATCTCAGAGTAGATTTATTCTCCAGTTGTCAAGAAAAAGAATCAGTTTGGACTCTTTTTTTACTACAAAAAAAAAAAAAAAAAAGAGTATCCATTCATCCATTCATGTACTCCCCCATCAAGCGCCAGCACCTGCTGCTCGCCGGCTCAGGCGCTGACTTCTGGCACACTCCCTGACACTGTATTTCTTGTGTGTTCTAGATGATCACAGCCGAGTAGAGCTATCCCTGATAACCTCTGATGAGGACTCCGATTACATCAATGCCAGCTTCATTAAGGTACAGAGAGAGGAAATCAGGAGCCTGCCAGCACCCTCCAGATCCCTAACAGGACTAAGGGCAGGCTCTGATTCACACTCACCACCTGCCATTTCCCTTCTCTTAGGGGGTTTATGGACCCAAGGCTTACATTGCCACACAGGGTCCATTACCGGCCACACTGCTGGACTTCTGGAGGATGATCTGGGAACACAGCGTGCTGGTGAGTGCAGGGACGCCTCTTACTTATTCCCGAGGAAGGGAAGAGAGATGGTCTCAAGAGGGTGTGGCTGAGGTCTCCTATCTCTGAAAAGCAGTGTTTTTTATTTATCTTTTCAGAAAATTTTTTTTTTTTAGATTTATTTTTATTATTTTTTATTGGAAAGGCGGATATACAAAGAGGAGATACAGAGAGGAAGATCTTCCGTCCAATGATTCACTCCCCAAGTGAGCGCAACAGGCCGATACTATGCCGGTCCAAAGCCAGGAGCCTCTTCCGGGTCTCCCACACGGGTGCAGGGTCCCAAAGCTTTGGGCTGTCCTCGACTGCTTTCCCAGGCCACAGGCAGGGAGCTGGAAGGGAAGCGGGGCTGCCGGGATTAGAACCGGCGCCCATATGGGATCCCGGGCGTGCAAGGCGAGGACTTAACCACTTGCGCCACCGCGCCGGGCCCCAGAAAATTTTTTAAATATTTATTTTACTATTATTATTGTTGTTGTTGGAAAGGGAAATTTACAGAGAGAAGGAAAAATAGAAAGATCTTTGATCTGCTGATTCACTCTCCAAGTGGCCCCAGTGTCTGGGGCTGCACCAATGCAAAGCCAGGAGCTTCTTCCAGGTCTCCCACACATTTGCAGGGTCCCAAGGCTTTGTGTCGTCCTGGACTGCTTTCCCAGGCCACAAGCAGGGAGCTGGGTGGGAAGCGGAGGAGCCAGGACACGAACAAGTGCCCATGTGGGGGATTCTGGCAGTTGCAAGGCAAGGATTTAGCAACTAGGGCTTTGCTCCTGGCCCAGTGCTTTTTGATTTTTAAGTTTTTAAAGATTGACTTCTGGAGTTACAGGATTGTGGGAGGGGGCATCATTCATCAAAATGACAATGTCACGATTGTTCAAGGAAATGAAAGTTCCCACATCGGACTGGCTCATTTGGTGACAAGACTTTGTCAATTTGAATAGAGAAAGGGGAAGTGAGGCTGGAAAGAAGAAGAGGGAGCGGCAACACGTTTTAGAACTTATCAGGATTTCTTTTTTGGTTAAAAAGCAAAGCAAATTAGAACAATGATTAACCCTCTCTGGCCCTGGGACCCTGTTATCTAATTGCTCTTCTAAATTGAGTTTCTCTTTGTTTCATCCCCCAGGTAATTGTCATGGCATGTATGGAGTTTGAGATGGGAAAGGTGAGTCCTTTCTAGGACCTGCTGATCTAAAGATCAAGGAAAGAAGAAAAAGAGAGAGAGATCACGAACAAACTTTTACTTAAGCGTTTGGGAATTCCACATGACTCTAGGGTTTGGTTTGCTGTTTTTCTTTTGTTTGTATTTCTTTTTTTAAAACCCAGGTTATCTATTTCCTCAGTAGTTTCTGTGTAGTTTTTTTTTTTAAAGATTTATTTATTTTTATTGCCAAGTCAGATATACAGAGAAGAGGAGAGACAGAAAGGAAGGTCTTCCATCTGACAATACACTCCCCAAGTGGCCACAATGGCTGGAGCTACGCTGACCCAAAGCCAGGAGTCAGCAGCCTCCAGGTCTCCCATGTGGGTGCAGGTTCCCAAGGGCCTGGGTCATCCTCGACTGCTTTCCCAGGCCACACGTAGCGAGCTGGATGGGAAACAAGGCCGGCAGGACTAGAACTGATGCCCATATTGGGATCCCATTGCATTCAAAGCGAGGACCTTAGCTGCTAGGCTACTACCCCAGGCCCAAGTAGTTTCTGTGTTTTAAAGTAGAAATAAGACATGCTTAAAAATGACAACTCACTTTCCCATTTCTCGTAATGAGATAATTCGTAATTGTTAGTAATAGCTTCCAGTCCTGTGCTGGCCAGCTCAGCCCAGCCCAGCATCCACCATCCACTTTTACATATTGGCACTTAGGGATCAGAGCAGTGGCATAGCAAGCTAATCCTCTGCCTGTGACACCAGTTTGTGTCCTCACTGCCCCACTTCCCATCCAGCTCCCTGCTTATGACCTTGGAAAGCAGTGGAGAATGGCCCAAGTCCGTGGGACCCTGCACCCATGTGAGAAACTCGGAAGAAGCTTCTGGCTCCTGGCTTTGGACTGGCCAGCTCTTGCTGTTGTGACCCTATGAAGAAGTGACCAGCAGAAGGACAATCTCTCTCTCATTCTGTAATACTGGCTTTCAAGTAAAATAAAATAAATCTTTTAAAAATGTTTTTAAGAACATAGATAAGAGTGACCCAGGAATGTGTTGTCATTTCAATTCTTAAAAATTGATAATCAATTCTGATATTAGAAAGCTTCAATTATTTTGAAACGACTGGGGCATGTGAAACTTCTTTTTAAGACTGTCCTTTTGAAAGGCAGTTATAAAGAGAGACAGGGAAAGGCAGAAGAGAAAGACCTTCCACTTGCTGCTTCATCTCCAAATGCCTGTCAACAGCTGGGGCTCCTCTAGGCCCAAGGCCGGGAGCTTCAATTCCAATCAAGTCTTCTATGTGGGTGGCAGATGCCCGTGACTGATGAGACCAGCTTGCATTGCCTTCCCAGGTACATCAGCTGCAAGTTGGACTGCAAGCAGAGCAGCTGAGGCTCCAGCTGGCGTGAGGATGATACAGGATACTAGAGTTGCAGGTGGAAGAATCACTCACTATCCAATACCAGCCTCTATGGGAAACATTTTCAGCCATGAATTTTATGAAATATTCAAATGGAAATTAAAACATTTTCAATGAAAATTTAATATGGGCCCCAGGGTGATGACTCAATGGCTAAATCCTTATTTTACAAATGTTGGGATCACATTTGGGTGTCGCTGCTTGTCCCAACTACTCCACTTCCCATCCAGCTCCTTGCTTATGGCCTGGGAAAGCAGAGGAGGATGGCCCAAAGCCTCAGGAAGCTGACCTACATGGGAAAACTGGAAGAAACTCCTGTCTCCTGAATTTGGAGAGGATCAGGTCTAGCTGTTGCAGCTTCTTAGGTAGTGAACCAGCAGACAGAAGACTTTTCTCTCTGTCTCTCCTGCTTATCTAGTAAAAATAAAATTAATCTTTATGAAAAATAAAATTTAACGTCTTTTGAGATGAACTGTAAACATAAGACACTAGACTTTTGAGATTTGGTTTGAAGAATGATAAAATGTATAATAAGTGGTTTATGTTGATTAAATATTGAAATTGTTTGATATTTGTATATGAAGCTAAATATACTATTAAAGTTCATTTCCCCTTTTTCATTTTTATGTGTGACTATTAGGTAACTTTAAATTACATATGTGGCACACATTCTATTTTTACAGAACATCAATGTTCTAACTAACCTGTTGTCACTCAAAGTTGACAATTTTAATCAACACCAAGGGAATTTGGTGTTTCACTTGTGCACCTGTTTTAGTAGATGCATTATTTCTGCTGGTCCTCCTGAAATATTGAAAATAAGTCAGGGATTTTGTCTCTTTAGACCTCTGGGAAGTCTTTGTCACTTCTCTATCTGTTGATTTTGCTTTCCCATCCTTGGTGCTTCCAGGCTGAGGGCACTGGCAATGCCTTACCTAAGGTGAAGGGCTAGGGCATTAGAGCTGTTTCTGCTTCTGAGAAAGGGAACCGGGTGATTTCCATGAAGCACCTAGAGCCGTTGCAGGAGGGAAGCAGAATCATAACTGCATTATGCTTTTTCGCCACAGAAAAAGTGTGAGCGCTACTGGGCTGAGCCAGAAGGGATGCAGCTGCAGGTCGGCCCCTTCTCCATTTCCTGTGTAAGTGCCATTTTTAAGGGATGGTGCAGCCAAGGTGCCAGGAGCCATCTTCTGGAGCGCTGATCTTTGAAATGACTAATACTGTCTTCTTCTGCTTAGGAAGCTGAAAAAAGCAAATCTGACTATATCATCAGGACTCTGAAAGCCAAGTTCAATAGCGTAAGTATGGAACAGGTGTGATAAACTCAGAAGCCTTAACCTAAAGGAGGCAGATAAAAACATCGTGTGTGACTCAGGCCGGCGGGGGGGCGGGGGGGGCTTTAACTCTTTATATTCTGAAGAAACCTTATAGTGTCATCTGTGCCCCCCATCTTTTCCACACCATGGCACACATATCCAGTAGGATCTGTAGGGTGAGCAGAGGGCCTCATTTTGTTGCACAGGGCCTGGGAATCAACTTGGTGAGCTCGGATTGCCCTGAGCTCCCCCATCCTCTCTCAAAGCAAAGGGACACAGTAGCAGCATGTCTGTGATTCATTTGAGGTGCACCAACTGGGAAGGCCTAGTTTAGACTGTTCTTCTATCTAGTCTCATCTTGTGAATGAGACAGATGGGGGACAAGCCAATAGCAAGTGACCTTAGGTTACTGCTTTTTTTTTTTTTTTTTTTAAGATTTGTTGTATTTGAAAGGCAGAGTTACACAGAGTGAGAGAATGAGAGAATGATATATACGGCATGTATGTGTATATACACACACACCATTTATATACACACATATGGAGAGAGAGAGAAATTCCATCCTCTGGTTCACTCACCACGTGGTTACAGCTAGTTAGGGCTGGACCAGGTGGAGGTCAGGAGTTTATTCCAGGTTTCTCACGTGGATGGTAGACCCTAGCACCTGAGCCATCTTCTGTTAACTTTCTCCAAGTGTTAACAGGGAGCTAGATCAGAAATGGAGCAGCCAGGACTCAAACCAGTCCCATATGGAATGCTGGTATATGCAAGAAGTGACTACCTGTTATTCCACAACACTGGCCCCAAACTGCTTTTAAAGTGTAATTAAAAGGCACTTGGTTATCTGAGACCTAAAGAGAAGGAATCAAAATAAGTTGCAAAAAGGATACAGATGCCTTCGAAGATGGCAGACTCATCTTTCATAGAAGCAGGTGGAGTCCTAACCTTGAATTCTCCCTTTGGTCTGGCTTCTTATCACAGGAAATCCGAACCGTCTATCAGTTTCATTACAAGAACTGGCCAGATCATGATGTGCCTTCATCAATAGACCCTATTCTTGAGCTCATCTGGGATGTGCGTTGCTACCAAGACAGTGACAGTGTTCCCATCTGCATCCACTGCAGGTACGATGCCTGGCATAAACCACACAGCAGAGTCTGGCCTGGACTCTGCCTGTCAATGGCAGAAACAAACTGGGCTGTTCCATGTGAGCCGTACAGCTTTAGCGACCCCTGCTGGAAGGAGTTGGCAAGGACCTGTCCCGAGGCTCCCTGTAACATGAACATGGGAATGATGGGACTTAAAGCAGTTGCGTTGCTGCCAGGCTGCTTCCTCTTGAGATCTGCTGCTGGAATTTTCCAGCTCCTGCCAATGACTCTTCCTCTACTAGTACACATACCCCTGTGCTCTTTCATTTCAGTGCTGGCTGTGGAAGGACTGGCGTTATTTGTGCTATCGATTATACATGGATGTTGCTAAAAGATGGGGTGAGTTTCTCTCAATGTGAGTTTGGACTTTTGTTTGGTTTTTCAAGATACCTTATCTTCGTGATTCGTCTTTTCCAGAATATTCACTCGGAGAACCCCTCTGACAGATGAGTAATTAGTTCCTAAATTGTTGGTTCCTAAACTGTGATCTCCAGGCAGGATGCATCAGCATCACCTGAGAGCTTGGTAGAAAGTGAATCATTGTGCTGGTCTGAATCCCAGTTCTGAGGATGGAAGGTGGGGGCGGAGTCCAGAAAGCTCTTCAGGTGATGCTGATGGGTACTAAGTTTGAGAGCCACTTCCCTAAACCACACTCATGAGTCCTTAAGTGAGTGTCTACTAAGACATGGAAAGTTGAACTATGAGCTTTCCACTTGTCTGCCAACTCCCTTTCTTCTCAGGAAACTCCCATACTTGGTCTCAACTGAGCTTTGTCCCTCTTCCTTTCTTTAACTGTTAAGACATTTGATCACGGGAAATAATTCTGAGGAGTTTCTTCCATCTTTTGCAGGGAAAACGCAAGGCTCTCAGTCATGGTGCATTACAAAGGCATTTCCCCCCCTACAATCCCATGCAAGGAGAGCTGATATAATGGAAGTACAAGATTATAAGGATGAGGTAATAAGCTACTAACAAAGCATCAAAATGAATATGTTTCCTTCTTATTTGATAGATTATTCCCGACAACTTCAGCATTTTCCATTTAATCCAGGAAATGAGAACTCAGAGGCCTTCGTTAGTTCAGACTCAGGTACGGAATACAGTGGTGGATCAAACTGTGTGTCTGCATCTTGTTCTGTCTTTATGTTGAATGGAAAGACATCAGATAGAACTGACTTCCCAGGTAACCAATATTATGTTTCTTATCCCCATAGGATGTTAAAAAGGTTCAGTGAGCCTGATTTCTTAGAAATCAGATACCTGGGTCATATTAACTTAAAATCTTGTGGTAGTAAATTCATCTCTGAAACCATAGAAATTCAGTGATTCATAGTTTCTGTATCAGGAGGCAGTGTTGGAATCAGGTAAATTCAGCTTATTTTAGGAAATATTAAGAAATGAACATAAAATCAGTCATTTTCCTACCATCTATATGGGCACTGTTACTACTTTCCTATAGCTTTACCTACTCCTGGTTATATGCATACTTCACAAAAAAATCACATTCTTACTATTTTATGTATCACAATTGTTGCACCTATTCCAGATTTCCTACATCCATCCATTTCATTAGGAATGCTCTTTTTCTCTTTTTCTAGCTCAAATCTCTGGCTGCCTAAAATATTGGTTTCAATCACATTTCTTTTTAGATTTGTTAATTTACTTGAAAGGTAGAGTTGTAGATATCCACTGAATCACACCCAAAAAGCCCTCAATGGCCACGGCTAGACCAGGTTGAAACCAGGAGCCAGTGGTTTTTTCTAGGTCTTCCACATGGATTCAGGGGCCTAAACTCTTGGGCTGTCTTGCAGTGTTTTCCCAGGGAGCTGGATTGGAAATAGAGCAGCCAGACAGTGTCACGGGCAGTGACTTTACCAGTCATGTCATGGCACTGGCCCTCAACTGTTTTTCCATGTCAATAATTTAAAACCCGTTTCAGGGTCAGAGCGGTGGCATATCAGGCTAATCTACCACCTATGTCTCCTACATTTCATATGGGAGCCTGTTTGAGTCTGGTTGCTCCACTTCTGAGCCAGCTCTCTGCTAATGGCTTGGGAAAGCAGTGGGGAATGGCCCAGGTCCTTGAGCCCCTGTGTAAATGTGGGAAACCTGGAAGAAGCTCCTGGCTCCCAGCTTTGGACTCACCCAGCTCTGGCCATTGTGGCCCTTTAAGAAGTGACCAGCACGGGCCCGGCGCGGTGGCGCAAGTGGTTAAGGTCCTCGCCTTGCACGCCTGGGATCCCATATGGGCGCCGGTTCTAATCCCGGCAGCCCCGGAAGAGGCTCCTGGCTTCGGATCGGCGTAGTATCGGCACGTTGTGCTCACTTGGGGAATGAATCATTGGACGGAAGATCTTCCTCTCTGTCTCTCCTCTTTATATATCCGCCTTTCCAATAAAAAAAAATAATAAAAATAAATCTTAAAAAAAAAAAAAGAAGTGACCAGCAGATAAGAGATCTCTCTCTCTCTCTCTCTCTGTGTCTTCGTGTCCCCCTCCCTCTCTGTAAATCTAGCTTTCAAGTAAAACAAATGTTTCTATTCTAAGTGGTTTACATCTATGGAATAGAATCTGGCTTTCACCCTTTTGTTCATTCCTCATGTAATTTATTGATATTTATTTTGTAACAGGCACTTCTGAAAATTTGAATTCCTTTTTACTGTTTGGATAGCAAACCCTAAAGCGTTTAAAGCACACAAATGATCTTACTCATAGGTTTAAAGCAGCAGAATTGACAGTGTGAGTTTAGATGTTTTACTTTGGAAGCCATGAATTAAAGGGGAAATATAAAGAGCTACTGTAATACAGACCTATGTCTTCAGCCCACACAGGTTTTCCACTTACGGATTATGATGGAAAAAAATACTTTTTAATGTGTTGGGTGTAGGTGTTTTCTATATTCAACCTGTGGGGGGAAAGTTTATTTGAAATGAAAGCATTAGCTGGTTTAGTGTTGTCAGACCCTTGTAAATGCATTTTTAAAAGGCTTCAGGAAGTATACAACCTAGTTATATATGTTGTAATTCTAAATGAATAAAATCATGCCTCATTTCTGAAACATTCCATCACAGGTCTACTCAGAGTTGGAGATGTTTGAAAAAGACTTCACATCTTGGCACTCTCAATGTGTGTCTGAGCAAAGATTTTAACAGTTGTAGCTGCTTTTTCTGATACTCCTTTAACCACAAAAGGGCACTGAACCACATGCTTCCTGTTTAACTTTTCTGTCTAGAGAATATTAAAGACTGATCAATGGTCATGTGGCGGGATACAGATGTGTTGTTCTACCAAAATTATCTGTAGAAAAAGTTGTCCTTTATCTGTATAGGACTGTGTCTATTGTCAGAGAAGATCCTGGATATACCTCTAGAGGGACACAGTGCCAAACCAAGTGCCAGAGCAGGTGTAGTGGCAAAGACTGAGTAGGGAAAATCCACGCAGCCTGTAGCAGCAGGTGTCTCATTCCTGGATAGGGAATCCTTTTACCATCACGTGTTCCCAAACCTTACTTAATGGTTTGCTTTTCTTTGGTATGTTTACTAGAAGAAAATTGTAGCAATTAGATCTAATGCACTAAGTGGAGAGTCACAAGGTTCCAATTTCTAAGCTAAGTCCTGGAAATTAGTTTTGATTGATCTTGGACAAACTAGAAATGGGCACACAGGCCTAGCTACTTCACAGAGCACTTGTGCAGAAAGGATGAAAGTGCTTTTCCCTAAAAAATGCATCTAGGATGAAATAAATTTAAAAAAATATGAGCAAGGAGATGACAGAAGAAGAAGACAGAATATGAGAAATAAGATGGCAGAGGGGGAAGAAAAGTAAGAAAACAGGTTAGGGTATAAAATAAACATGCCACATTTGTTGCACATTAGCTGGAATTGTAAGCATTGTTTAGCTATCTGCCAGCATAGTGGTGAAATCTGAACTGGGTTATATGAACATGGGATGCTGCTATTAAGTTTAATAATTTATACTGATGGTCCTTTCAGGTCTGCGGTGCTAGTGTTTGATTGGTGTTCTTGTTACTGAAATCTGGTTCTGCAGTTCACCCATATCTTGTTTTTTAACTGTCCCATTTCATGACAATCCTCAGGAACAGTATGAACTGGTCTACAGTGCTGTGTTGGAACTCTTCAAGAGACACATGGACGTTATCAGAGAGAAACACCCGCAAATGGAGGTAAAGTTTGAACTGGAATTCTGTTCCCCCAGCCCTGTTTTTAAATTTTTTTTCTATGCTTGTTTTTGATCAGCGATCTCAGATTTGTCATTAAGACTTCCCTACAGCTAACCTAGAGCGTCAGGTGTGCATAGGATTGTGTTGGGAAACTGTAGCAAAGGACAACTCGTTTGAGGGTATTTAAGTTAGAGCACTGACCTTTTGGTTCACCTATTATGTACAATTTCCAGCTAAATTTAGCAACAGTCTACGTACTGTGGGGGAAGAAAAGAGCAGTGTGTGCGTTGCTCCCAATTTTTGTGCTGCATTAGAAATGAGAGTAACAGGGCCAGGTGGCATGGCCTAGCGGCTAAAGTCCTCACCTTGAACGCACCAGGATCCCATATGGGCACTGGTTCTAATCCTGGCAGCTCCACTTCCCATCCAGCTCCCTGCCTGTGGCCTGGGAAAGCAGTCGAGAACAGCCCAAAGCTTTGGGACCCTGCGCCCGCGTGGGAGACCCGGAAGAGGCTCCTGGCTTCGGATCGGCATAGTATCGGCCATTGCACTCACCTGGGGAATGAATCATTGGACGGAAGATCTTCCTCTCTGTCTCTCCTCCTATCTGTATATCTGACTTTCCAATAAATAAATAAATCCTAAAAAAAAGAAGTGAGAGTAACAAATGCAAACTGAACTCACAGCTTGGTGACTTTTCAGGCTACACTAGTCTTAATGTCATGTCACAGTAATTTTTAAATTTTAGGTTTTAAGATATTCACAAATAAAAGTATGTATATTTATGGTATACAACATGATATGGCAGAATATGGATACATTGTGGGATAACAAATGAAGCTCATTAACATTTCATATCACGTGCTTATCATACTTTATAGTGAGACCATTTAAGATCCACTCTTTGGCATTTTTCAAGTATGCAACACATTGTTCTAAACTATGTTACCATGTTGTACAATGGATTTAAAATTTTTGTGAAGATTTCTTTTTACAGAATTTTATTTATTTAAAAAATATATGTGTTTATTTATGTGCCGAAGAGTGAAAGAAAGCAGAAAAAATAGATAAAGATATTCCAACTTGTGTCCATGTTCCAGATGACCGCAACAGCCACAGCTGGGCTAGGCCAAAGCTAGGAGCCTTCCAGGGTTCCCAAATGGGTGGCAGGGGCACAAGGATTTGGGGCCTCATCTACTTCTCTCCTAGGTGCATTTACAAAAAGTTGGATTGGAAGAGGAATAGCTAATACTTGAACTAGCACTCCTATATGGAATGTTGCTGTTTTATGTGACAGCTTAACCTACATACGGGCCCTAAATCCTTGTTTCTAATTCTTTGGTATAAAACCTGAAATGGAATTGATGTGATCATATGGGATTCTGTTTACTTTTTAAGCAGTCACCATATTATTTTCTATAATAGTTGTACCATTTTATATTACCAATGATAGTACACAATTTCCAATGTCAACATTCTAGCAAACACTTAAAAATATATTTTATTTATTTGAAAATCAAAGTTAGAGAGATATCTCCCATATGCTGATGCACTTCCCAGATGGGCACAATGGTCAGGCGGGGTTAGGCTGAAACCAGGAAATAGAAGCTTATTTCAACTCTCCCACATGGGTACTTGGGAGATCTGATGCTTTTCCCAAGCCATTAGCAGGGAGCTGGATTGGAAGTTAAGCAGCTGCATATGTCCAGTGCCAATAATGGGATGCCGGTATCAGAGGGGGCAGTGGCTTTATCTACGACACAACAATGACCCCTGTTTTGTTTCAGATGGTAGCTATCCAAAAGAGAGTGAAGTGGTATCTCATTTGGTTTCTTAAAAATATTTATTTAATGGAAAGGCAGAAGGAAAGAAGGCATCTTCCATTTGCTGGTTCATTTCCCAAATGCCCAAAGAGCCAGGGGTCGGCCAGGTGGAAGGCAGCGGCTTAGAATGCAGTATGATCTCTGGTATGGATGGTAGGGACCCAGATCCTTGAACCGTCACTTGCTACTTCCTAGGGTTGGATATTAGCTGTAAGCTGGAATCAGAAGCAGAGCCGTGACTTTCATCTGGGTCCCCCACATGGGTGGCAGGGGCACTGTTTTTCACTGCTCCCAGGGCACATTAGCAGGGAACACAATCAAAAGTGGAGCAGCTGGAAATCAAACAAGAACTTATATGGTATGCTACCATTATAGGTAGTGGCTTAATCCACTATGACATAGTGGCAGCCTCCCAAATTGTTTTTATTTTGATTTTATAACCAAAAAACATAATGCAAATTCAATGTTAAAGCTTTTCCCTTATGTTTTCTTCTAAGAGTTGTATAGTTTGAGTTTTAACTTTAGATCATTGATGCATACTGAATTAATTTGTTCTACTTCCTGAAAAAATTGATTTATTTTCTTTTATTTGAAAGGCAGAGAGAGAGAGAGAATCTTCAGTCTGCTTTTTCACACCTTAATGCCCATAATGGCCAGGACTGTTGAAGTCAGGTACCTAAAACTTTATCTAGGTCTCTCTCATGGGAAGCAGTGGATCAAGTATTTAAGCCATCATTTGCTGTCTCCAAGAGTGCACATTAGCAGGAAGCTAGATTGAAAGCGGAGAGGGTCCCATCCTAATTGGAGGCTCACATGAGTCTGCAACCCCTTTACCTTTGTAATAAACATTAAAATCGTTCATAATAATAATAAAAGAAAGCGGAGAGGGTCCAATATTGTGGTACATTGGGTTAAGCCAGCACCTGCGATGCTGGCATTCCATAAGGGGCACAGTGGTCGAGTGCTGGCCACTCCCCCTTCTTATCCAGTTTTCTGTTAATGCACCTGCTAAAGCAGTGAAAGATGACCGAAGTGTTTGGGTCCCTATACCCATGTGTGGGAGACATAAATGAAGCTCCAGGCTCCTGCCTTTGGTTTAGCCCAGCCCTAGTCATTGCAGTCACCTGGGGAGCTAACCAGAGAATCCAAGCTTTCTTGCTTTCTCTCTTTCCCTTTGTAACTTTTTCAAATAAACATTTGGTCTTAAAGAAGAAGAAAGTGGAGAAGCCAGAACTCAAACCAAGCATTTTTGTATGGGATGCAGGTGCCTCAAGAAACATTTCAACTGCTATGCCAAAAGCACATAACTTAATATTTGTGCTATATAAGGGACAGGTTTCATTTTTTGGCTTGTGGGTATCTAATTTTCTCAGCAACATCTATGAAAAGATTGTTCTAGTCTCATTAAATAATTTTGGTTGTTTTGTTAAAAGTCAATTGCCCTCCAGATGTGAGGATGCATTGCAGTGTGCATCCCTGCTTTCGAAACAAAGATGAACTCCCAGGGAAACTGTTAGACGTGTCTGCACAATGGGATGCTGGACTGTAACATTGTCTGAACCAGCAATGTTACACTTAAAGGACACTTTAAGGGCACACTTAAATAACAAACTGATGGAATTATAACTCCTTATGAGGGACTGTGTTGCTGTAGTAGTATGGGGGAAACCAGTCGGGGGTGGGAATTTGGGAGCGGAATCCCAGACTCCATGGAATTGTACCATAAAATTCAAAATTAAAAATAAAAATTAAAAAAAGGTCAATTGTGCATGAGGCCAATGCTGTGACACAGGAGGTTAAGCCTTCGCCTTGGGTGCTGGCATCCTTTACACTCACTAGTACAAGTGCTGGCTGCTTCACTTCCAATCCAGCTCCCTGCTAATGTACCTGGGAAAGCAGTGAAAGATATCCACAAGGGAGACCTGGAAGAGGTTCCTGGCTTCAGTCTGGCACAACTTGCTGTTGCAGCTATTTGGGAAGTGAACCACTGGACTGAAGAGCTCTGAATATGTCTTTCCTTTTCTGTCACTCAGCCTTTCTAATTAATTACATGCAACAGCATAAATGTATCATTTAGTTTCATTTCCATGAGCTTTTAAAATTTTCTTACATATGAACATTTATTTGTAATCTCTGTTCTGTTCCATTTGTCCATAGTCTACCCTATGCCACTACCACATACACATAGAGGTAGAAAGAGAGCTCCCATCCTCTGGTTCACTCCCCTAACTCCTGCAACAGCTGGGACTTGGCCAAGTCAAAGCCAGGAGCTGGAAACGCAATCTGGATAATAGGGACACAATTACTTGAAGTATAAACACTGCCTCTCAGGGTCTGCATTAACAGGAAACTAGACTCAGAAGCCAAAGTCAGATATCAAACCCAGGTACTTGGACACAGAATGTGGGCCTCTTAACTATTGTTTTAGTTATTAGGCTAAGCATGCACTCCTGTAGCAAAAAGAAATTTTAAAGATTTTAATTTTTATCAGAAAGGCAGACTTATAGAGAGAGGGAGAGACAGAAAGGTCTACTGTCTGTTGGTTCACTCCCCAAATTGCCACAACAACTGGAGCTGAGCCAATCTGAACCAGGAGCCAGGAGTTTCTTCCAGGTCTCCTATTTAGGTCCATGGTCCCAAGATTTTAGGTCATCTTAGACTGCTTTCCCAGGCCATAAGCAGGGAGCTTGATGGATGGTGGAGTAGCTGGGACATGAGCCGGTGCCCATATGGGATCCTGGCACATGCAAGGCAAGGATTTAGCCGCTGAGCCATTATGTCCATGTAGCAAATTTTGAAACTAGGAAGTATAAGTCTTTTAACTTTGCTGTTCTTTTTAAGGTTGTTATGTCTATTCAGTATTTCTTGAGTTTCTATATGAATTTTAGAATGAATTTTTCTCTTTCTGAAAAAGAACCATTGAGCTTTTCAGAGGGATTACATTGAAACTGTAGATCACTTTGAGTGGTATTGCGTTTTATGCTTCATAAACATGGTATCCACTTATTTATGTGTAATTTCTTTTAGCAACACTTTGTAGTTTTCAGTTTACAATTCCTTTGCCTCCTAAATTTATTTCTAAGAATTTTGTGCTTTGTGTTGTCACTGTAGATAGAATTGTTTTAATTATTTTTTCAAATTATTCACTGCTTGTGTTTAGGAATGCAGCTGGTTTCTGTGTGTTGATTTTATATCTAGAAGCGTGGCTAGATTTGTTTATTATTATTATTATTATTTATTGCATTTATTTCTAAATGCAAGTATAAGATCATGTCATTGGAAAATAGGATTTTATCTCTTCTCTCTGATGTGGAAGCCTTTTATGTTTTTCTTTCCTACTCAGGCTAGAATTTTATAACTACAGAAACTTCAACCTTATGTTGAACAGAAGTGACAAATTTGGCATCCTTTGCTATTCTTGATTATAGAGGGAAATTTTGAAGTCTTTTACGATTGAGTATGATGTTAGCTATTGGCTTTCACATATGACCTCCATATTTTGAACACATTTCTTTATACCCTTAGTTTGCTAAACATTTTTATCATGATTTTTTTCCTGTATCAATAGAGATTATATGGATTTTTTCTCCTTTATCTTACCAGTGTGAGTTACGTGAGTTTTGTGTGTTAGACTATTCCCATTTGCTCATGGTATACAAAAACTCGTATTTGTGACTGAGTTTGATTTGCTGCTATTTTGTTGAGAACTTGTACATCAATACTCACAAAAGATACTGGCCTGCAGTTTTCTTTTCTTTGTGCCCACGTCTGCCTTTGCTATCAAGCAAGTGCTAGTCTCACAGGAGGGGTGAGAGTGTTTTTTCCTACTCAGTGTATTTAAAGAGTTTGTGGAGGATTGGTGTTAATTCTTCATGTGTGGCAGAATTCGCCAGTGTATACTATAGCATTTTTTTTTTCTATTTCTGGATTGTTGTTGTGAGGTTTGTCTTTTTTTTTTTTTTTCCTTTAAGATTTACTTCTGGATTAGAAAGACAAAGCAACAGAGAGAGGAGGTGAGGGAGGTGAGAGAGATATTTCCATACACTGATTCACTTCCCAGACGACCACAAATAGGTATATTTAGGCCAGGCCAACGCCAAGAATCAGCAATTGTTTCCTTGTATTTTAAGATCTTTTACTTTTTAAAAAACATTTATTTTATTAGAAAGACAGACTTTCAGAGAGGAGAGATAGAAAGATCTTTCATCTGTTGGTTCACTCCCCAAATGGCTGCAGTGGCTGGAGCTAAGCTGATCCAAAGCCAGTAGCTTCTTTATAGGTCTCCCAAATGGGTACAGGATCCCAAGGCTTTGGACCATCCTCTACTGCTTTCCAAAGCCATATGCAAGGAACTGTATGGGAAGTGGAGAAGCTGGGACATGAATTGGCACCCACATGGGATGCTGGCACTTGCAGGCAGAAGATTAGCCAATTGAGTCATCACACCAGTCCCCAAGGATCAACAATTACATACTGGCCTCCCTTAAATGAGCCATCTTCTCCTGCTTTCTATTAGAAGGTTTTATTTACTGTCTTTTGTTAGACAGCTTTAGTTACTGACTTAATCTCTTTATGATTATAGATCTATTAAGACTTTATATTTCTTCCTGTCAGTCTTGGCACTTTGTTTATCTCTAGGAATTTGTCTATGTAATGCTAAGTTGGGAATTTGTAGGCACACAATTGCTCATGGTATTCTCTTATAATTCCTTTCATTTTTTTTTTTAATTACAAAGTCAGATATACAGAAAGGAGGAGATAGAGAGGAAGATCTTCCATCTGATGATTCACTTCCCAAGTGAGTGCAACGGCTGGTGCTGTGCTGATCTGGAGCCAGGATCCAGGAACTTCTTTCCGGGTCTCCCACACAGGTGCAGGATTCCAAGGACTTGGGCTGCCCTCGACTGCTTTCCCAGGCCACAAGCAGGAAGCTGGATGGGAAGTGGGGCTGCCAGGATTAGAACAGGTGCCCATGCCGGATTCAAGGCACATTCAAGGCAAGGACTTTAGCCACTAGGCCACATTGCCGGGCCCAATTCCTTTCATTTTTATAGGATTGTTAGTAATGTCAATATTTTGATTTGATTCATTTGAGTCTTTTTTATCCTTAATTTAGCTAAATTTGTAACAATTCTGTTACTTTTTTAAAGCACATATTTCTAGATTTCTTGAATTTGAATTTTTTTTCCTAGTCTTTATCTCATTTGTCTTCACTCTAATTGTAAACATGTCATTCTTTATTCTAGTTTGGGTACAATTTGCTCTTCTTTTTTGTGTTCCTTAAAGTGCAATGTGAAGTCAATTTAGGATCTTCTTCCAGGCACACATACATGACTATAGAATTCCCTCATGGCAATACCTTCACTATTCTGAAGTTTTGGCTTCTATTTTCATTTGTTTTGGGTATTTTCTAATTTCTCTTGTGATTCCTTTTTTGACTCATTGGTTGTTGAATTGTGATTTCAGATATTTGTGAATTTCCAAGTTTTCCTATTATGAGCATGAAAGATACTGCATATGATCTCAGTCCCTTTGTTTTATTGGCTGATTCAGTGAGACAGTAAGAGCTATCTTGTGGAATATTCCATGTGTACTTGGAAAGAATGTGTATAAGAGTACTTCTAACATTGGAAAATGGCATTGAAAGCTTATTTTTAGTGCAATACTTTTTGAAATTCTTACGTAGCTTTTTCTTGCACTCTCCATGAACCACATGCAGGACCCTCATGTGCTGCTGTTTGGTGGAGTATTCTAGTACGTTTGTCAGATATGGTTGGTTCCTGGCATTCTCCAGGTCCTTTATTTCCTTATTGATCTTTCCTTTTTATACTGGCTGTTGAAAGTGGGATATGGAAGTCATTAAGGTGGTCTGTTAGCACTTCTATAACATGCATTTCAAATGAACGACATTTACACATCAGCAACTTGTTTGCTCAAAATTCTGGAGCTGGAAGTCTGAAGTCCAGGCATTGGCAGAGCCATGCTCTCTCTAATAGCTCAAAGAGAAGAAGCTTTCTTGTTTCCCTCTTTTTTTCTTTTTTCAGCAACTCCTGCTATTTATTGGGTTTTCAGCATATTATGTCAGAATCTGCTTCCATCATCACATGGCCTCCCTGCGTGTTTGTTTTCTATTTTTGTAAAGAAGCAAGTGATTGAATCAGGATCCACCTTAATCCATTCTATCTCATCTTAACTAACTACACTTGCAAGGACTCTATTTCCAAATAAGATCAAAGTCTCAGATATCAAAGTTTAGATTTCAGCTTACCTTTGTGGGAGACACCATTAATCATCAATAACAGAAGATATCTTAAAACCATACTTCATTTATATCTGAATATGTTAACATCGCTGAAATCAAGGATGTATTTTACACTCAATGGTATCCACAAACCACACTGACAAATCACATGACCTGATAGTTGCTACACAGATGATGAAGATTAACAGTGGCTGGGCAGATGTGGGAGTTTGATTTCAGGTTGGGTGGTTGGAGGTTTCCTTATGCAGAGGATAATTATATGGCGACCCAATCATGTAGATAAATTCAGCAATATAAAATATGGTGCAAGAGAGTGTAAGTCAGAAGAACAGTAGCTGTGAGCCTTGAATCGGAAAAAAGTTTAGCTTGCTAAAAGAATGACATACTTGGAATGCAGTAAGGAGGAAGCTATTAACTTTAAGGTTAAGAAGCTAAAATTTCTGAAGGTAGAACATTATTTTTTATTTTATTTGGAAGGCAAAGGGAGAGAGAACACAAAACAGATGTTCCATTTCCTAGTTCACTTCCCAAATACCCACAGCAGCCTGGAGTGAGCCAGGCTGAAGCCAGCAAACCACAATTAACCCATGTTAGTGGCAGAAACTCAAGTAATTGATCTATCACTGCTGACCCCAGGGTGTGCCTTAGCAGGAAGCTGACATTAGAGTGAAGCCAGGACTTGAGTCAGGCATTCCAAAATGGTATATGGTTATCTCCAAAGGCTTTATCATTGATTGCATGTAATATCCACCTCTGTTGGGTGCTCTTCAGACTGAAGTAAGCCCCAAGAACATTTCACAATGCCCAATTTAAAAGGTTGTTATAAACAATCCCTTCTAGTTTCTGGAACACTGACAATTCTTTATTCTGACCCTTTTCTTGTAAGTAGATGAACAAGTTCTTGCTGGGTTCAATATTTCAGAAATCTTTTATTATTTCAATCTTCATACTTCCTGAGAAATTATTTCTCATCCTTTTGAGTATTAACATATCTCATTCACTAAAAACCAACCACTGTCTTTCCTCTCTTGAAGATTCAAACGAAGTATTCAATTCCTGAGCAACATCCCACTCTACAAGCAGGTACTCATTCTCCAACTTTACCCACAGAGTGAGTAATAATTTTCATATCTACATGTTGGCTAATTATGTCTTTGTCAGAGAAATGAACCTCACCATTGTATTTGTAATTCCAATGCTAGGAAGAGGTCTTTGAAATGGGTTGTCATTACTCTTCTTGTTTCAGCACCATAAAAGAAGTAAAAATGATGAACCAGCAGAGCGAACGGAGGACAAAGGCAGAAAATACTGAAGCTTCTTCCTTTGACTTTAGGACTTCCCAAATATGTGCAGAAGAGGGGTTAGATGTATACTCCAACAAACTGAACGCTTCCTTTGACTTCTTGGAATTAAATTATGATTGCAACAGAAATGCTGACGTGACCACGAAATGGCAACCAAAGGCTTTTCCAAGAGTTGGAGAACCTCTCCAGAAGCATCAAAGTTTGGACTTCAGCTCCATTTTGCTTGGGACATCATGTCCTAATTTCAAACCTGCAGATGCAACGGGAAAACATTTTAACTCAAAGGGACTAGTGGTACGGACCAAATCAACTCCCTTTGAACTGTTACAGCAGAAAGAAACCGACAAATCAGACATTCGAGAAGATCTTTCTTCCTTGGAATCTCGACGCCACAATTCTTGCCTGGGGCATATGCAGGATCCAAAAGTAATGCATGTTTCTTCAGCAGAACTAAATTCTTCACTGTCATATGATGCTAAGCACCAAAGTTGCAATGCTTCGCCTATAAGCCAGTGTGATTCTAACTCTTTTAACATATACTCTTACATGTCTCTAGTAGAAGATCCCTATTTTTCCTCATTGCCTCCAAGTTGTGCTGGCTCTAAGATGTCTCTTGATTTTCCTGAGAAAGAAGAGGAAACTAGTTATCCTTGTTCTCTGATGCCAACATCTTCTTCAACTCTCTTCTCTTACTACAATTCTCATGATTCTTTGGCACCAAATTCTCCAGCTGGTGTTTCCCTACCACCAAACCAACCGGCCACTGTTGGTGGTAAGTTATTTCTTGAAGTTTGTATAGCATTTTATTTATTTTGTATCTATAGAAGAATTTCTTCCTACCCTCCTCTTTCTACTCCTTTTCCTTCTCTTTTTTCTTCCCTCTCCTCAAATTAATAAATCCTGAAGTGTTTTTATGATGTGGTAAGTTGAAAACAGCAATAGCATGTAACAGTCTACTTAACAGGCAGGAGTGGAGGCAGTTAGATCTGGCATATCAAGTGTGTCAAGAAAACTTCTAAAGAAGGCAAGCCTTATTCCTAGAAATATGTTTTGAAGGCCACAATTTACCCTTACCATATAGAAGCAGCTTCCCCCTGCCTCCCAAAAATAGCAGAAAAATCTGACCAACAGCATCACATGGTCAACCCAGAATTTTTGTTTTATAATTGTATGCCTATAATGAGTTGATAATATTGCCAAGAATTGAGTCTTCTTCCTGTAGGAGTCAGAGGGGAAGAACATAATTTCCTACTCTTTTGTAGTAACTTTAGTAGATAAAACTATTGTATTTAACATTTGTATCCAACTTATATGTACTTAAATGTTTTCTGTCTGAATTACACATTACTTTACCTTACTGAGTAGTTGAAGAATAGAAGTGATATCCTGTTGGAGATAATTATAAGTTGATATAGGAGAAGGGAAAGCAAAGTGTAAGTTTAACATCTTGGGCATCATCAGATAATTTATAAAGAGCATTCTAGACAGGAAATAAACCCAGACAGGAAGCAAAATAACCTTTCGCTCTATCACATTTTTATTGTTTTCCTTTGTAAAATGTTTTTACTTTTCTTTTTTGAAGTTATCTTATTTTCATTTCTTTGAAAGGCAGAGACACAGAGAAAGAGAGACCTTCTATCTGTTGGTTCACTCATCAAATGCTTGCAATAGCTAAGGCTGGCCCAGGCTAAGCAGGGCATCTCAGATACTGGCAGCAGGGACTAGCCAATTGAGCCAACACCTGCTGCTACCCAGAGTGTTCGTTAGTTTGTAACTGAATGGGAGGTGGAGCCAGGACTTAAATCAAGTCTGACATGGGATATGGGTATCCCAAGAAGTGCCTTAACTGCAGAGCTAATATCCCCACCCTGACCCCTTTTTAGTTTCTTAAATAAACACATGTAAATACAGTTTGTAGCTTTGATCTAAATCTAAGAAATCCCTTCTGTTCAGATTATATGCTTGGATCTTGCTTTAAATTTTAAAGATTCTTTTTCCTAGATAGTAACAATACCTTAGGCTTCTCAGAGCATCAACATCACTAAAAAAACAATCCTTAGTTCCAATTTATTGTAGCAACATTGACATATGTGCCATCTGGTGGTAGTTTCTTATAATAGCATTGACAATTTTCTATACAAATTCTGTTTCTATGGAAATATTGAAAGTCATTTTATACTGATTTGAAAAAGAAATCCATAGTATTGGATTCAGTGAAGAATAAAAAAGAGATTCTAAAATCTTTAGGATTCTATTTAATGTGTAATTGAGTCTTTGACATATCAAAATGCTCTATAATGCTTTATTATGTGTTGCATATAAAACAAAAGGAAAGCGTATATTTAGAAAATAATTCAAAGCATCCAAGATTAATAGAGTTTTCATATTATGTTAATCGATGCTCAGTGACTCAATCAAAATACTTAGGTGGGGCGGCACTTTGGCACAGCTTAAGCTGCCACTTGGATTGTCAGTACTCCATACCAGGATTCTAGCTTAAGTCCTGGCTGCTCCACTTCTAATCAGCTCTCTTCTGATATACCTGGGAAAAAAGCAGAAAATAGCCAACATACTAAGGCCCCTGTCATCCATGTGGCAGACAGATATGGAGCTCCTGGCTCCTCGCTTTGTCTTGGCTCAGCCCTGGCTGTTGCAGGCATTTGGGGGAATGAACCAGCAGGTGGAAGATTCTCTCTCATTCTTAACATGAGATTGGAACGGGCCTGGCGCAATGGCGCAGTGGTTAAGGTCCTCGCCTTGCACATCCGGGATCCCATATTGGACGCCCGTTCTAATTCCAGTAGCCCCACTTCCCATCCAGCTCCCTGCCTGTGGCCCGGGAAAAGCAGTCGAGGACGGCCCAAGGCTTTGGGACCCTGCACCCGCATGGGAGGCCCAGAAGAGGCTCCTGGCTTCGGATTGGCTCAGCTCGAGCCGTTGTGGCCACTTGGGGAGTGAATCATCGGACGGAAGATCTTCCTTTCTGTCTCTCCTCTCTGTATATCCACCTTTCCAATAAAAAAATAAATCTTTTTTTAAAAAAAGATGAGATTGGAACATAAGCATTGCTGTTGGCTTGTTCTCATGTCAAATTGTCGTTGTATATTTGGATACCAGCTTCTCCAGTGGTTGATGATGAAATCCCTCCTCCCCTTCCTGAGCGGACACCCGAGTCCTTCATTGTGGAGGAGAAGCCTGGTGAGTGCATTTCAGGACATGGGAAACCAAGTGTGTGTTACCTGTGGTGCCTCTCAGGTGCTTTCAGGGGTCTGTGTGCTGCTGCTGAGTGACACTGGGTTTCTGGAAGAGCAACACTCTCCCTAAGAACTGGACTGTACTCACTTTCTTCCAGGAGAATTCTCACCTGGTATTCCAAAGTGTTCGTCTTCAGCTGGGCAGGTGAACACTGCAACAGCACAGGAATGGAGTGCAACATCGGAAGCCAAGGAATTTGATGGTTCTGTAAGACAGCGGCCACGTGGGGTCAGTGACTTTTTTTTCCTAACTCTATTCATTTCGATAGTTCCGTTCCCCATGTCTTAAACACCCGCTAATCATCATAAAGTAGATAGAAAATACAAAACAAGGTGCTAGAAGATGGATGTAGGGATTTGAAGGACATAGAAAAGATGCAATTCACGACCATCACTTGTAGATGAAATCAAGGATATGGACCCACGTCTTTATTTTTGTGTCTGTTTATGGAAACAAAGCAAAAGTGAAAAAAAACAGATTTAAAATGTATGAGATCCCTTTGGACTGGAAGTGGCAGAGGGAAATTCAGTTAAAGGGGAGATAGTTGAGCTGATTCTTAAAGGATTGATGAGGCAAAAAATGAATGGTCTGTAAGTAGATAGCTTGTTCACTCAAGCCACTTCATGGGCTGCTTCATGTTAGCTGTGAAAATGCATTAAAGATAGCCATTATTGAAATGTCATTTGTGCATATTATTTCAGATAAAATTTTTGGAATAACATTTCCTGCTACTGAAATGAGAACCTACACCTTTAACAAAAGTCATCAAACAGTTGAAAGTGCTTCCAAGGAAGGGCAGTGTTTGGTTTCAGATGCTGCTTGGGATGTTTGCATCCCGTAAGGAGCACCCGGCTTAGAGTTCCAGCTCCACTTCTGATTCCAGATTTCTGCTTAACACACATCCTGGGGGGCAGCAGGTGATGGCTGAAGTCCTGGAGTCCCTGTACCCACATAGGAAACAGATTCCATTCTAAGCATCCTGGCCCAGCCCTGAGTATTATGGCATCTACCAGCAGATGAAAGACTTCTCTTTCTGTGTCTCTCTACCCTTCAAATAAATGAATGAAAACAAGAATGCCTCTAGGGACAGTCAATATGCTTAGCAATTAAGACAACATATCGCATACTTGAATATGTGGGTTCAGTACTCAGCTCTTGCATTAGCTTACAGCTAATGCAGCCTGACAGGTGGAGGTGATGGCTTCAGTTCTCTCAAAGGGAAAAACTGGATTGGAACTTGGCCTAGCCCAGGCTGTTGTGAGCATTTAAAGGGTTGAACATGGGCCCAGCGTGATAGTGTAGTGGTTAAAGTCCTCGCCTTGCACGCACTGGGATCCCATATGGTTGCCTGTTCTAGTCCTGGCGGCCCCACTTCCCATCCAGCTCCCTGCTTGTGGCTTGGGAAAGCAGTTGAGGATGGCCCAAAGCCTTGGGACCCTGCACTCGCGTGAAAGACCTGGAAGAATTCCTGGCTCCTGCCTTCGGATTGGCTCAGCTCCAGCTGTTGTGGTCACTTGGGGAGTGAACCATCGGACAGAAGATCTCCCTCTCTGTCTCTCCTCTTCTATATATTTGCCTTTCCAATAAAAAATAAATCTTTAAAAAAAGTAAATAGAGGGTTGAACCAAAGAAAGGGAGATCTGCCTCTCAAATAATATATAAACATAGTGGCTGGCACCGTGGCTTAACAGGCTAATCCTCCATCTGCAAGCACTAGCATCACATAAGGGCACTGGTTCATGTCCCAAATGCTCCACTTCTCATCCAGCTCACTGCTTGTGGCCTGGAAAGGCAGCAGATTATGGCCTAAAGCTTTGGGTTCTTTACACTGGAGGAGGCTCCTTCTTTTGGCTTCAGATTGGCTCATCTCCAGCCAATGGGGCCATTTGGGGAGTGAACCAGCAGATGGAAGATCTTTCTGTTTCTCCTCACTGCCTTTCTAATAAAAATAAAAATTTTAAAGATTTATTTACTTTTTTGGAAAGTCAGATTTACAGAGAGAAGAGAAAGACAAATCTTTGATCCACTGGTTCACCCCCCAAATGCCCAACAGCTAGAGCTGAGCTGATCCAAAGACAGGAGCCAGGAGCTTCTTCTTGTTCTCCATATGGGTGTAGGGTCCCAAGGCTTTGACCCATTGTCCACTGCTTTCCCAGGCTGTAAGCAGGGAACTGGAAAGAAAGTAAAGCAGCCAGGACACAAATCAGTGCCCATATGAGATCCCGGCATGTGCAAGGCAAGGATTTAGCCACTGGGTCACCATGCCAGGAAAAATTCATAAACATTTTTTAAAAGAAGGAAAAAAGTGCCTATATTATAATGCTGATAGGCAAAGACTCTATCCCTCTAAAATATACAATAATTTTAATGTACTGATGATTGCTATCATTATTATTACATACACTGTAGTCGTCTTTATCTCAACTCCAGAGCAAAGCACAATCACTCCTCTTCCAATGTCATTAAATAGCTTCAACTTCAACAACTTACCTCAAACTAAAATGTCAGGGAAATGTTCAAGGTGAGAAAAAACAAAAACAAAAACAAAAAGGATCAATGTGGGACTATCTTCTCTGAGGTATAAAAATCACTGAAAGAGTTAAGGATCTTTTTTATAATTCAGCACACATATCAATTACAGACATCACATTCTGCATTGTATAACTGTAGCTCTAAGAAATGTAATTGTCAGAAAGGCATTTATTGCTTCAACTTGTATAACACATACACATATAATTCATTTTCCACTTTTATTTCTTTCTTTTAGAGAGTAAAACTTCGGAGTCCCAAATCAGGTAAAAACAAAATCTTTTTTTTTTTTTTTTGGCTTTTGATACTATTTTGGATTGTGTCCTGTTAAGAATGGTTCTTATTATAAATTCTATAAATTAATATAAATTATATTTAGATTAACTCCCCTTAGGAAGCTTCATGGTTCCCATAATAGCTTGCATCATTTATTGATTTATCTGTGGCTTTCCCAGACTAGGGATTTTGTTTTGTCATAGGCAAGGAACTTTCAGATAACACTTTTAGCATTTCCATTATATGGTTTTTATATTTGTCAATAGTGTGATCCTAAAAAAAATGATTTCCAGCCACTTAGTTCTTTTCTTTGCCATTGCTTCTTCAGTAACTTTCCTGAGCTTGTTTTACGTATTGAGTAACAACAATGACTAATACTGATTCCACACTTAGAGGTGTTTTGCAAACATTGTCACAAGTGCAGCTGTCCTTGATGCATGGATTCACATTATCATCTTCTGCACACACAGGAAGTGCTAATATAATATGGAGGTTTCAAAACATGTGCTCTGGGATTAGTGGGACTCTAATTCAAATCCCCTGTGTGTCAAGAACGATCAAAATGCATAACCGTGGCTAAATTACATAATTTCTCTGCCAAATTTTCTCATTTATAAAATGGAGATAATAGAACCCCTTGGGCATTTTGTGAAGATTGAGACAGTGGGTATGAAGCTTTTACTGCAGGGCTTGTCAAACAACAAATCTTCATTAAATGTTATCTATTATAACTTCTATAATATAATCATGAAATGATAATTTACTAAGCAAGTTCTGTGAACTTTACAGTGTTCTAGATTAGCTAGGATATGTAAGAAACTACTTCATGCTTATATTCAAACTGAGTAGATACAATGACTATTCACATGGGAGCATCAAGGGTGAAATGTGCACGATACTGATTATAACCATCAGGAGCCTGGAAAGGCAGGAGGAGAGCACCAGAATGGTTAGGAGAGGCTGCACTAAGAATCTGAGGATGAGGTGCCATGCCATAGTAACCTCTGCCAGCAGCACCAGCACCCCAAATGGGTGCCAGTTTATGTCCTGGCTATTCCGCTTCTGACCCACCTGTCTGCTTTTAGCCAGAGAAAATGGGCCAAAGTCTTGGGATCCTGAACCCACGTGGGAGACCCAGAAGAAGCTCTTGGTTCCTGGCTTTGGATCAGCTCAGTTCTGGCTGTCACAGCCATTTAGGAAGTGAACCAGTAGATGGAAGCTTGCTCGCTCGCTCGCTCTCTGTATCTCCTTTTTCTCTCTGTAACTGACTTTCAAGTACAAATACATCTTAAAAAACAAAATAAAAAAATTTGAAAATAAAAAATTTGAATAGAGAAAAGGGGGATTTCTAGGAACAAGGACAAGCCTAACGATGAGTCAAAGGAAGCCATCAGCATGAAGTGTACAGAGAAGCTGAGTTGGTTATGTTGTTTGTGGAATATTTAAAGTAAATTGGGGTGGTTAAGATGTGGCAGGGGCATGTGTTGCTGTGGGCCAAGCCATGGCCTGTGACACCAGCATCCCTATATAAACACTTCAGGGCCAGCTGCTACACTTAAAGTCTGATTCTCTTGCTAATGTACCTCGAAAAGCAACAGAAAATGGTCAGGGTGCTAGGGCACCTGCCTCCCAGGTGGGACACTCAGATGAAGTTTCAGGCTGCTGGTTGCAATATGGTCCAGCCCTGGCCATTGCAGCCATTTGCAGGGTGAATTAGCAGATGGAAGGTCTTTCTTGCTCTGTATGTGTCCCTCTGCCTTTCAAATAAATTAAAGTGTTTTTTTTAAATAATAATAAAAAAAACTAGATGTGGCAATATTCTGGTCTTAAAAGCTAGTCCAATGAATTATCTAGACGAGGCAACTCCTCAAACACAGAAAACAGATTAGTGGTTGGTGGAAAGGGGGAGTAGAGAGACACCTCGTGGGTGTGGAGTTTCCTTTTGGGGGTGGCAAAAACACTCAGGAACCAGACAGGTGATGACTGCACAACACTGTGAATGTACTAAATGTCACCAGTGACAAAACTGACGTGCATTTAACACACACACACACATACAACCACACACACACAGAGGTAGGCAGAACAATTTAGATTTAATGCACTAATATGTACTATGGATTATTCATCAGGATAATATTAAGAGGAAATAGTATTTAAGAAGATATCTATTAGGATATCATTAGCTGACAGCTCTTCTTTTCTTTTCTTTTCTTTTTTTTAAAGCAGAGTTAAGACAGTGAGAGATCCTTCAACCACCAGCTCAATCTCTAAATGGCCACAATGTCCAGGGCTGGGCCAGGAGCTTCTCCTGGGTCTCCTGTGTGGGTATAGGCAGCCCAGCATTTAGGCCATCTTCTGCTGCTTTCCCGGTACATTAGCAGGAAGCTGCCAGGTCTAGAACTGGTACTCAGAAGGGATGCTAGCACTGCATGTGACGGCTCAACCTTCTGCCCTACAGTGCAAGTCCCACAAAGGCAGTCTCAATTCTTAAATATTGCCTACCAGCAAAGTAGAAGAAGACAGACTGTTTGAGAGTAGTTATCAAACATTTATTAAGTTTCTATTGTAAATTAGTTACTGTATTAGATGCTTGCTGGGAAAGTCTTATATTTTTGCATGCTACCCAATGCATAAGAAATGAGCAAAACTTTCTTAATTCTAAGAGAATAAAACCACCAATTACAAGTGAAATTCAGTACTTCACTGAATTTTCATTTTGAAAAGGTATTATTAATGTAACACATCATAGCACTGTATAAGGAAAGCTTATGCCAACAGAATGCCATCTGTATCTTTAGAAGCTTACAGTGTGGGAAAATGGCTCCATGATTTGAAATGCTTTGTTATATTGTAAATTTTAAATTTACTACAATTACCTAGTATACCAATAAATTGACTAATTTCTTCTTATGCAATATCCAGATTGTATTCAATTTTTTAAAATTGTCTCAAAAATGTTTTGTAGTTGGCTTATTTCAATGTTTTTCTTTTTTTAAGAATATTTTTCTTTTTTAAGATTTATTTTCGTTGGAAAGGTAGATTTACAGAGAGAAGGAGAGACAGAGATGATCTTCCATCCACTGGTTCACTCTCCAAATGGCCTCAAAGGCTGGGGCAGAGCTGATCTGAAGCCAGGAGCTTCTTCCGGGTCTCCCACACGGATTTATAGTCCTCTGCTGTCTTCCTAGACCATAAGCAGGGAGCTGGATGGGAAGCAAAACAGCTGAGACATGAACCGGCATTCACATGGAATGTCAGCGTTTGGAGATGGAGAATTAGCCAGTTGAGGCATCCTGCGGGGTCCCAAAGGTTTTTGTTTTTTAAACTTGTAACAGTTCGGTTTAAAAAAATTATTTCATTTATTTGAAGGGCAGTTACAGAGAGAGAAGAGGAAAGAGAAAAAAAGTACTTCCATCTGTTGGTTTACTGTACAAATGGCTGCCAGGGCCAGAGTTGGGCTAGTCTGAAGTGAGGAGCCAGAACCTTCTGCCAAGTCTCCCATGTCAGTGAATGGCCCAAGCACCTCGGCCATCTTTGGTTGCCTTCCCAAGCACATTAACAGGGCTGGATCAAAAGTGGAGCAGTCAGGACTCAAACTGCCATTCACATGGGATACCAGTACCATAGGCAGGCAGAGGCCCTGGTTTTAACTAATTGCATCCTCAAGGTTTTATTTAACACATTCCTCTATCCCCAGGATTTCCTGCAAAACAGTAGTTAGACAATGATTTAATTCAATTCCTTTGGAAGAATATATCTGTGAGTAAGCTATGACTTCTTGGTAAATATGAACACTTCTTGGTAAATATGAACACTTCTTGGTAAATATGGCAAAAGAGGTATAAAGACAAAGTTCTTGAGGCTCTGGTCATTGGTAAGGTAGTTGTAGATTAAGAATGATTAGTTAGGAAAACTGTACAAGGCAGAAAGGGCTCTAAGACCTCTAACTGATGGGCCGCTTGGCTTTGTTGCTTGCTTCTCTCACAGCAGAGCTGCCCCGGGACAGCTCTTCCTCGCCACCACCTCCACTCCCAGAGCGAACTCTGGAGTCCTTCCTCCTTGCTGATGAAGACTGTAAGTGGCAGGAGCTTCACTCCAAAAGAATTATTTAAAAAAATTAGAATGTTAAAAAAGTTGCTAAAGAAAATCCTAAATGGAAAAGGCAAAGAGTAATTACATAGCACAGAAACATGTTTTCAATGCTTAGTATATATACATCAGATAATGCCTACAGAAGTCAAGCTAAGAATTATCCAATGTAACACAAAGGTTAAGAAATTATATCACAACTCTTTTCCTTCACTGAAGGTGTGCTGGCCCAACGTACAGAAACATACTCTAGTAGCTGTCCTGAAGCCGCGGAGAATTCAACCTCTTCAAGACAGACGCTGAAGACTCCTGGGAAAGGCTTTACACGGAGTAAGGTAAAGAAGACAGGAGTTTTCAAAAACATGCAAGAAGCCTACATTCTTTTTTGTTTTTTAAGATTTATTTCATTTTTATTGGAAAGTCAGATATACAGAAAGGAGAGACAGAGAGGAAGATCTGTCCAATGATTCACTCCCCAAGTGAGCGCAATGGCCGGTGCTGTGCCAATCTGAAGCCAGGAGCCTCTTCCGGGTCTCCCACGCGGGTGCAGGGTCCCAAAGCTTTGGGCCGTCCTCAACTACTTTCCCGGGCCACAGGCAGGGAGCTGGATGGGAAGTGGAGCTGCTGGGATTAAAACCGGTGCCCATATGGAATCCCAGCACGTTCAGGGTGAGGACTTTTGCCACTAGGCCACAGCACCGGCCCCCAAAATCAATAAATCTTTTTTTAAAAAAAGAAACTTATAAAACAGAATAACTCAAATTAAAATGGGCAAAAATGTATGACAGATAGTTTAAGGAAAGTGAGTAAGTGTGGTCTTCCCTTTAACATTTGATATGTTCCACATCATTCTTTTTTTTTTTTTTTTTTTTTTTAATAATCTTAGTTTATTAGGGTACAAAGGGTCATGGGCTACAGGGTGAAAGTGGGTAATATCATTGTTTCCACACTAATATAATCATTTTGCCCTGTATCTAGGGTTAGGGGAGTAACAAAGGGGAAAGCCCCACCCTACCTCCCACCCATCCCCCATCCCCAACATGAGGCGCGCTCCAAGGGTCCTGCTCATACAGTTTTGATAGTTCATCAGTTCTGGATTGCTGCCAATCTCTCCGTCCCAACCGTAATGAAACCTATTCAGAGTCCACTGGCTGACAGTCTCTTGATGGTTGGGGTTCCAAGATCAGCAGTTCAGTTGGAGAAATATCCAAAGAAACTTCATCTGAGTTGATCCCAGATCTGATTCTTGAGTGAGTTTGCTAGTACAGACTCCAACACTGTTCGTCACACCAATCAGCTTATGCATATGCTGGTCGTTGCGATTACTGGGTCCGTTCGGCTTCCAGCCCTGTCTTCCTTGTGAACCAATGGGTGTTGTAGTCCAGCTCGATTCTACCCACTTCATACTCGGTCTTCATGCAAATCCACATCATTCTTGATAAGAGAAATACAACACTAAAATGAGTGACACAGCTTTCCATCTATCAGAATAGCAAATTCCAAAGACTTATCCACAGCCTCTGTTTGAGAAGTAGCAGGGAATAAGCATTCTCCATTGTTGATGGGAATGCATACTCCTACAACTTCTGCAGAGAACAATTTTCCTACAGGAGAATTACAAATGCAAACATTCCTTGACCCACGAGTCCCTTCTAGCAAACATGCCTGCACATACATGAGATTACATATGTACCAAGTATTTACTGCAGTAACATTGTAAGAGTAGAAGACTAAAAGCACACAAATGTCACACATAAAGGAACCAATTCCATAAGTCATTTAGAATGTCCATACAATGGAATATCATGCAGCTAAAAAATGAATGAAGATTCTCTTAATGTACCTATAGTTTATTAACTTTTGTTTTAAAAAGGGGACAATATGGGCCTGGTGCAGTAGCCTAGCAGCTAATGTATTTACCTGCATGCTCCAGGATCCCATATAGGCACCGGCTCTAATCCCGGCGGCCCAACTTCCCATCCAGCTCCCTGCTTGTGGCCTGGGAAAGCAGTCAAGGATGGCCCAAAGCCTTGGGTTCCTGCACCCGTGTGGGAGACCTGGAAGCTGCTCCTGGTTTCGGATAGGCAGTTGTGGCCACTTGGGAAGTGAATCATAGGATGGAAGATCTTCCTCTCTGTCTCTTCTGTTTTCTGTATATCTGATGTTCCAATAAAAATAAATAAATCTTTAGAAGAAGGGGGGAGAACAATATGATCTATATGTATATTTACTTTGTTTCTTTTTTATTTTTGACAATCTTTTCATAGTTAATTATGCCACAGAGGTTCAAGGGCTACAGGAAAGTGTGTAAGACTGTCATTTCTACATTTTTTTTTTCTATATCTGAGGTAAAGGGAGAAGCCCCACCCAGTCTCCCGCCCATCCCAGGTCCCCGATGTGGGGCATGCTTCATAAGTAACTCTGGGAAGATGCATAAGAAATGAATAGTGTAACAATAAGAAGAGATGAATAGTGCTTATTTACATGAGAAGGGTTAGACACTAGGTAGATGGAAGACAAAGATGGCAGCATTTTTAATCTGGAGTAAAAATCTGGAGTTTTGTTTTTTTTTTTTTAAAACTTTTGTGTCCGGTCCAACCTGGAGTTTTTGAAGGATTAAATAAATTATTTTGTCTAAAAGTTTCCCTTAGGCAATCGTGGAGTGTCTATTACATGGAAGGACACATTTTTTATTCAGTTAGGGAAACAGAAACATCACAAAGGCATCTGCATACTTCTGAAAAGAGCATGTCGTTAGTCTGTTGGAACAGAATGCCACATGAAAAACATGAAAAGCATCTAGAATAAACTAATCTGGAGCAGATGAAACCACATCCTGAGGGAAATGTGGAGTAAAGTGAGTTTGGACAAGTTTCTGAAAGAGATAAGTGGGAGGCCTCCCCACAGGAGAGGCAGAGGCCATGGGTTAGCTGAAAGGAGGGCAGGAGCTGGCCTCGGGAAGCTGAGCACAGCATGTGCCTGGCAAATCTCAACTATCACGGGCATGGCTGTGGATCAGAGCTACATTCAGAAGCAGTTGTGGGTTCAGTATTTCTAAATATGTAGTGTCATACATGTAAGGGTAGAAAAAAATGCGTAAAATTGAATGGCAGTTTGGGGTTGGGGTTGTGGCATTGTGGTATAGTGGGCAAAACCACTGCCTGTGACACTGACTTTCCATATTGGAGCCAGTACGTGCTCCTGTCTCCTCCATTTCTGATCTACTTTCCTATTAATGGCCTAGGAAAAGCACTGGAGGATGGCCCTGCTACCCGTGCAGCAGAAGCAGCTCCTGGTTTCAGCCTGGCAGTTACAGAATACAGCCACCTGGGGAGTGAACCAGTGGATGGAAGATCTCTCCCTGTCTTTCCTTCTCTCTCTGTAACTCTTTCCAATAAATCTTGAAAACAGCACTTAGAAAGTAGCAATTTTGCAGTGAATTACAAATTAGCCAGATGGAAAAATAAGTCTGTGTTTCTTAAAAGATTTTTTTTTAAACTTGGAAGTATACAGGGTTCAGCAAAAAGGAGGGACACAGGGAGATCTTCCATCCACTGGTTCACTCCTGAAATGGCCACAATGGCCAGAGCTGGGCTGGTCTGAAGCTGGGAGCCAGGAACTTATTCCAGATCTTTTGCACTCATGCACATAGGGGCCCAAGACCTTGGGACATCCTCTGATGCTCTCCCAGGCCATTAGCAGGGACCTAGATTGGAAATAGAACAGCTGGGACACTTGAATTGGTGTCCCTATGGGATACCGGTGCCATAGACTAAGAACTGGCTTGCTACGCCACTGCGCTAGCCCTTAATTGTAGATTTTCACAGCTGTTTTTTTTTTTTTTTAAGGAATTTGATTTTTTAAAAAAGAATTATTTGTTTTTATTGGAAAGACAGATATACAGAGAGGAGGAGAGACAGAAGATCTTCTGTCCAATGGTTCACTCCCCAAGTGATCACAACAGCTGTAGCTGAACCAATCTGAAGCCAGGAGGCAGGAGCTTCTTCCGGTCTCCCACGCGGGTGCAGGGCCCAAAGCTTTGGGCTGTCCTTGATTGCTTTCCTAGGCCAAAAGCAGCAAGCTGGATGGGAAGTAAAGCTGCCAGGATTAGAACTGGTGCCCATATGGGATCCTGGCAAGCTCAAGGCAAGAACTTTAACCACTACGCTATCGTGCCAGGCCTGAATTTGATGTTTTTAACTTAAGTCGATACTTCCACTTGATTATTTTATGTGACACAGGGAAAACTGACTTTTTCCTTTACTTTTGCAGAGTTTGAAAATTTTGCGAAACATGAAAAAGAGTAAGTTTCTTTGTGCTTATTTTTTTTATATATATTTTCCTTTCATGATTATATTTTTCTTTGTGTGGCTATTCCTAAAGAGGGCCTTCCCTGGATCCAGTGGATCAGAACCACCGCTGCAAGCCTTGTGTTTAGCTCGGCTCCACCATGAAGAGGCCAGGTGGGGAGCAGCAGGGGTGGAAGGCTTTCTGTTTACACATGGGATGACAGTCAGTGCAGCGTTTGGTACTCTCTACCCATACAAGACTGTTACTTAGGGTTCTCAGCAGTTTAACCTCTGATAGAGTTCCTTTGAAAATAACCACAGCAAAAACAGATTGTGAAACAAATGTGCTGATTTAATGAAATAAGCAAAGCATTGACACATTTCCATTTTTACCAAGTATTATTAACAATGGTATTGCTGACCCTTTTTGGCTATACGGTCATAAAAATGAAACCCACAGACCGCTGGATGTATGGTAAACTGTCTTAGAAATCTTTATTTACAAATTCAAAGTGTATGAAACATAGTGATACACATTTTACAAACTGAGTCTGTTTGGTTAGTCATGAAGGACTATTATAATGGTGAAACAGGGAGGGACAAAGAGCACTGAGAAAACCTAAGCAGGAAGGTTTATATAGCATTGCTGCCCTCTATTTTTCTGGTTTTATACTCTACCCGCCTCCATTAACTCAAGATTTGTGCTGGTTTTCTATCATTGCCATTGTAACTGTGATATTTGAAGTCAACTGTTTCCTACCAATGATGGCTTAACTATGGTCAGAAAATATGCCTTTTCCTTTGAAGTAAATCAAAAGAGATTTTAACTATTCCAAAAAGAAATTATGGTAGGAAACAGAGGAACTAAAGCCAAAATTGTACAGCTAGCCAAAGATTGATCTGACTAGACCAACTTATGATACACCCAATTTCTTTCCGTAGCTCCAAACACTCATTTGGGGGATATCAAGCAAAAAAACCTAACACTCAGGCTGACTTCAACTGGCACAACATTAGGGTATGGCGGGATTCTCTTAGATATTGAGTCTTAAAGAGCTCCCAGGACATTTCTCTGGATCCTCACTGCTATATTTCTACCTCAGCTACCCTGATTCTCTGGTCTTTTGCCCTGAAATGAACAATGTCCTATCCCCAAAATTGACCCTCAAGTTCTAGACTTTTCTGTCTATAACTGCATACATATCTTCTATCCCTTCCAGATGGTTCATGCCTGCGGAATTCTATAAGTTCTCCCTACAGCCAGTATCTCTTACTGGTCTGGACTTAAAGTTGGTCCTGGTTTTAATGAAATCAGGCTTTCCTTGTCTGTCTAACCAAGCATATAAGCCCAGTGTCTTTCAGGCATCCAATTATCATTTACTGAGTGCCAGCTTTGTGTCAGATATTATGGAAGGCACTCTGTGTATAAGATAGTGAGCACAACAGGCACAGATTCTTGCCTTTGTGGCATTTAGGGCTGCTGAGGGGCTGACATTAAACAAGTAAATTCACAGAAACACACATAATAATACATTGTGATCAATGCTATAAAGGAAAACACAAGAAAAATTACAAGAGGGAATAACAACGGATGGTCCTGGAAGCCCTTTCTAGGGAAGTGACAACTGCACTCGAGACAGAAGAGGCAGCCAGTCAGGCTCAGTGTTGGGAGATCCCTCTATAGAGGAAGCAGCATATACAAACTCTTCAAGGGGTGAGAATCTGTTATGGAAGAACTGAAAGGGAAGCCATTCTAGCTGCAGGGTAGCAAGAAGGAGAAGACAGGTGAGGCTGAACAAAAGGATGGAGTAGGTTCTTATGTGTCATGTTAAGTAGAATTTATTCTGCATGCAATGGGAAGCCATAAAATGGTTTTGGGCAGAGATGTTACGTGACTTGTTTTTTAAAAAGATCATTTTGGCTGCTATATGGAGAATGAATTATAGGGTGACAAGCGTGGAGGCTCTCAACTACGATACCCGATGCCAACTCTGATTGGGAAGCTAATTGCTCAGGAATCCTTCAGCTGCAAGTTTCAAAAAAAAACCCAACTTGGGCTGACTTAAACCGAAAAGGGCCAGGCATTTGGCACATTTATTGGCTTGTAACCAATAGCTCGTATGATGTAATCAGGACCTAATCTCAATCCCTGTCGCCCAGCTTTGTTTTGCCCTGTATTAGCTCATGTCTAGGCAAGTTCTGCCATGTGGTTTTGGGCTTATGATGGGGGAAAGGGAACAGTCTTTCCTGGTTGCTCATTGATGACTAGTTTTAATTGGCCTAGCTCACTTGCTCATCCCTGAATCAATTACTGCCAGTATATTTGACATTGCATCATTCAGGAAAGTGTCATACCCAATGATTAACAATTTTTACATGTGGACACTGATCACTTAGAGTGTGTTCATGCCCATCTACCAACAATGAAACAATGAGTCTGCATGTGCTGCAGGACACTGCCATGATCATAAGGGAGAATCAGCTCCACTGGAAGCATGCAAGCTAAAAACTACGCAGGATTGGTGGGCCCAGCACAGTAGTCTAGTGGCTAAATTCTTGTTTGCATCTGCTGGGATCCCATATGGGTACTAGTTTGTGACCCAGCTGCTCCACTTGCCATCCAGCTCCCTGCTTGTGGCCTGGGAAAGCTGTCAAGGGCTGCCCAGAACCTTGGGACCTTGTGTCATGTGGGAGACCTGGAGGAAGTTCCTGGCTCCTGGCTTTAGATCAGCTCAGCTCCAGTCACTGCTGCCACTTAGGAGGTGAAGCAGCAGATAGATAATCTATCACCTTCTCTCTGTATATCTGCCCTTCCAATAGGAAAAAAATCCTTAAAGAAAAAATTGGGAAGGAATGGAAAGGAATACTAGTTTTCTTACCAGGAGCCGAGAGAATGAATGTTGGGGAGGCAGCATACAAATAACGAGAAGGCAATATGCAAAATAGCAATGTCTCCAGATACAGATACCTACAGAACTGCTGTCTTCTTTGTAAAGTATTTCCCTTTCTGAGACAGCTGAGGATGTATGCAGCTCTGTCACATGCAGTATAATTACTAACATCTCTCCACCTCCTCACCATCATTGCTTCCATATTCATGCCTCAGTCCTTGATGCCTAGCCCAATGCTCACTACATAGTGGGTATTCAATAAATATGCATGGGTATTTTAAAGATTATTTACCTAGAAAACAAACAAACAAAACCCAAAATAATTGGAACAGGGCGGGGGAGGGAGAGTGAGCAAGCTTTTCTACTTGCCAGCTCTCTTCCCCAATGTCCACTAGTTAGGGTTTGGTCAGGACCAAGTCAGGAGACTGGAACACAATCCGGGTCTCCCAGGAGCCCGAGCACTGTCTCCAAGAATGCACGTTAGCAGGAGATCCGGGATGGAAGTGGAGGAGCCGAGCCTTGTCCCAGGAGGGATCAGCATTTTGACTTCGTCATCTACTACATGTTAGTACAATAAAATTACTACTGATTCATACTGAACTACCTCCAGAAACAAAAAGTGTTTCTACAATTCTGTTGGGTAGCATGGACAAGCACCTGTGTGAATTTTCATGTTGCATTATGAAAATCTTAAAAGAGAGATATCTAATAATTTCTCCTCATTTATGTGTTTAGAAAGTATATACAAACTTGAAATTTATTTTTGTTGTACTAGCACACATCAAGGATGAGGACCAAGCTTGTATTGTTTTTAAACTGGGCAGAAAGTAACACAGGATAAGGAGCTAGAAAAATATTTTTAAACTATTAGAGGCAGATTGAGGGAGAAGAGAGATAGACATTAGAGCCTGGGTTTGCATCCTGCCTCCAACTCCAAGTTCAACTTCCTAAACCCTGTAAAACAACTAGTTGGGCCCCTACCACTCCTGCAGGACAGCTGGAGTGAGTCTCCAGCACCTGACCTGGGCCTGGCCCAGCCCTGGCTGCTCTGGCCACTTAGGGCATCAATCAGCAGATGGGGTGGCCGTGTTTCTCTCTCCCTCTTTCTCCTCTGTGCCTCTTTAATCAAAATAAAAATCTGTATAGAGTATTCAAAGTACCCAACAAAGTTAAGTCTAAAGCCAAAATACGAATCCCACAAAAAGTTGGTTCATGATATCATGGATCTTAATCTTGGCAACAATCTTTAGTGGTGGCCTTTACTATACAATCTATTTGCAAAGAAAATAAACTTGAAAAAAACAAATCCGTAAAACAGTGAAATTGCAGTGTCGAGTTGTAAGTATTTAGTTTTGTTAACATTTGATAATGATATGTTATTTGGAGGTATTAATCACTTTGGAGGGAAACATTTAAGTGTCAATAATTATGCAGTCTGATCAACAGCAATCTGAGCTGGTCATCATTCTTTTCCTGGTATTTTTTTCTTCTGATTTCAGGTATCTGTAATTCTCCACCACCAAGCAAGCCAGCAGAAGCTGTTCAGTCAAACAAGTGCAGTTCCTTTCTGAATTTTGGTATGTACAGTATTTTACAGCAGAGTTAAAAAACTGTTAGCTATTCATTTACAATGTAAGAGATACAACTTTAAATAAGGTTGTGAATACAGATCTTTGTTATTCTTTGCTATGTGGTTTATATTTTTATTTTAAAATATTCCTATGAGAGGCAAAGCTGGAGATAAGAGTGTACCTTGCACTGACTCACTCCCCAGATGCCTGCGGCAACAGCAGAGGCTGGGGCAGGCTGAAGCCTGGGCTCTGGAAGTCAATCCGGAGCTTCAATGTGGGTGGCAGCGACTCAAACAGTTGAGCTATCACCCGCTGCCTCCCAGGATGCACAGTAGCTAGAAGCCAGAAGCAGCAGAGACAGGGCTCCAACCGGGCACTTTGACAGGATCCAGGCATCTCAAGGGGCATCTTAAATGCTGTGCCAAATGCCCATCTTACTATTTTTAGCTTCAGGTAACTCTTACTATCTCATATGAGGAACTTTTTTTTTTTTTAAAGATTTTATTTTTATTGGAAAGTCAGATACACAGAGAGGAAGATCCTCCATCCATTTATTCAACCCCCAAGCAGCCACAATGGTTGTAGTGGAGCCGATCCGAAGCCAGGAGATTCTTCTGGGTCTCCCACACAGGTGCAGGGTTCCAAGGCTTCGGGTTGTCCTTGACTGCTTTCCCAAGCCATAAGGAAGGAGCTGGATGGGAAGTAGGGCTGCCGGGATTAGAACCAGCACCCATATGGGATGCCAGCGCATTCAAGGTGAGGACTTTAGCCGCTAGGCTACCATGCTGGGCCCTCATATGAGGAACTTTATGATACCATGGGTTAAACTGCCACTTGCCATGAGAACAGCCCATAATAAACACTGGTTTGCTTCCCAGTTGCTCTGATTATGATCCAGCAATTTGCTAATGTATCCAGGAAAACAGCAGATGATGGCCCAAGCAGATGGGAGAGAACCCGTGGGTAGAACAAGATGTCTGTCTCTCCCTCTCTGTCATTCTGCCTTTTGAATAAAAGCTTAAAAAAATATATATTTAAGGGGCTGGTGTGGTCGAGTAGCAAACACTGGCATCCTATACGGCTGCTGGTTTGTGTCTGGCCTGCTCCACTTCTAATCTTGCTCTGTGCCTATGGCCTGGGAAAGCAGAGGATGGCTTAAGTCCTTGGATCCTTGCACCCATGTAGGAGACGCAGAAGAAGCTCCTGGCTCTCAGCTATGGATCAGCTTAGCTCTGGCCACTGCAGCCTTTTGGGGAGTGAATCAGCGGATGGAAGATCTCTTCTATCCTCTGTAAATCTGACTTTCAAATAAAAAACAATGTTAAAAAGATTTTTAAAAACTCACTTAAAACTGATGTGTTTAGCATCTGTGGACGAATTATTAGGATGCATACAGTAAATAGATAACTAGTCAAAGAACTGACTTGCTATGATGATCTAGTACGTATTTAAAGCAAAGGTATAGAAATATACAAGTATGATAAAAATAGCAGTTATTGTTGTCAAATATATAACACATCTAACAATTGGAGAAAAATATTTTAATTAACTGCTCCACGCATAATTAACTTCATAATTTCATGCTATTGTTAGTAATATTGATATTCATGATACCATGATACTACTGCAACTAGTATCATGTTTGCTATAATTTTCTGATAAGTATAGCAATTTATACATGTAAGCAAACATATACATTTATGTCTAAATACATAATTACATGTATAGTTTATTTGAAAAAAAGTAACAAAGGGAAAAGTAAGAGGGGAGAAGGAGGAGAGAGAGAGAGAAAGGAAAGTTAAAAAAAAATTTGCTTCTTCAAAGGGCAGCTATAGATAAAAAGAAGGAGAAACACAGAGAGCTTCTACCTGCTGATTCACTCCCCAAATCCTCCAAAGGCTAGGGAATGAGCCAGGCTGAGGCCAGGAGCTAAGAGCTTCTTCTGGGTCTCCCTCAAGGCCCAAGTAGTTGGGCCATCTTCTGCTACTTTCCCAGACATGTTAGCAGGGAGACAGACTGAAAGTGGGGAGCCAGGACATGAACCGGCACCCACATGGGATGCTAGTGCCTCTGATATAGCATTTGTTGGCCCCAATCTCTGAGAGAGCAAAATTAATTTCCAACTGCTGGTTCCTTCCCCAAACAGCTGCAACAGCAAGTTTGGTCCAGAGTTCTGACCAAAAGACAGCAGGCAAACTCCATCCTGTCTCCCACTGGGGTGACAGGATCCCAAGTTTCTGAACCATCTCTGGTTGACTTCCCAGGAGCATTAGTTAGTAGGAAGCTAGTTCGGAAGCAGAGAGCAGCTGGCTCTCATGTAGGTCGCTGATAGTTCCAGTGGTGGGTTAATGTGCTGGGCCAAAACACAAATCCATAAACTATGGCAATTAAATGTAGGAGATACTATAAAAAAAGTACTGTGTAACAACAAAATTAGTGTGAACTCAAAGGCCGACTTCCTCCCCTCTCTCCTCCTTCCCCCTTCCCAGAAGGACTTGTGGGGACTCCCAGGGGTATCTCTGAGAACTGCTGCTCAACAGCCCAGTTCCTATATGTATGGTCAAAATTAGGTTGCTGCACATCCAGATTCCAGGTGGCACGGAGGTGTGGCTTCCCTTCCTTCTCTTCTGGTCCTAAGGGACTGAATGGAAGTGGTTAACATAACCTCAGCTCACGGTTACTTGAAGAGAACACAGACATGGACTATAGCTAAGTGTAAGAGACTGCTAGAGGTAACACTGGTAGACAGGCACACCCGGTTGCCTAGAGTCGATTCTATTCCTGAGGCTGCAGAGTCATTATGATGGCGTGGTAGTAGCTGCTCTCATACTTTGTTTATGATCTCTGTCTCACCTTGACAAATTGTTTTAACTAGAATCTCTTTAATCATAAAATTTTGTTTGGATTTCATGATTTTGAAGATTTAATTTTTTTTTAAAGTTATTTGAAAGGCAGAGTCACAGATTGACACATACACACAAACACATAACCATATATATATTAGCAGGGAGATGGACTGAAAGTGGGGCAGCCAGGACATGAACTGGCACCCACATGGGATGCTAGTGACATATATATATGTCTTCCATATGCTAGTTCACTCCCCAAATGACATCAACAGCTGGGGATGGGCCAGGCTGAATCCAAGATCCAGAAGCTTCCTCTGGGTCTCCTACATGAATATATGGGCCTAAACACCTTAGCTAACCTTTGTTGCTTTCCCAGGTGCATTAGCAAGGAGCTGGATGGAAAGTAGAGCCGCTGAGACTAGAACTGATGTCCTGATGGGATGCTGGCTCTGCAGGCAGTGGCTATACCCACCATGCCACACACAAGTCCTCTTATTAATATTTAAAATTTTAAATGCCAGGATTTAAAAAGAAGTCCTGATTTCATTAATTCATTTAGTTAAAACATTCATGCTGAATGTTGCATAAACTATGAAAACAAGAGAAACTATTCAATTTTGCCTGAAACACAAATGTCTGCTTCCTTTTTTGGAACCCAGTAATACCACCTGAACAACTCCTGGCCCACCCACCTTTACAACAGGCATTGATCTAATATCAGCAGCTGCCTTCATAGTGCTACTTCTCAAACATGCCTGGATTCAAACATTTCACCTACTAAGAAAAGAAGCAGTTATTACTTTTTCCACTTACTTCTTTTTGAAAAGAAGGCAACAGTAACTGTGTAAGTGTCATTCAAAAGAGTATTTCAGCATGAGACACTTGTGGATGAGGTTTATTGTTCCTGAATTGTCCCACATGCAAAGAAAAAGTAGATTATTATGGTTCTAAATAGTAGAAAACCGACCAGTAAGAGAGACTGAATATAGAAATTCCTCAAGTTTTTGATATTCAGTAGTCCATCCGTGTCACAATCAAGCCATCTATGCTGATGGGATAATTTTGACTACTATGCAAAACTGTTTGACCTGAAATACTTTTCTGTTGTTTTTACCACCAAGAGGAATAAAATGTGCCTGAACTATGCCATGTACTCCTCGTCAAGTTGCCCATTTTTATTAACACCTTTTTAGTGGTTTAAAAAAGTTTTTTTTAAAGATTTACTCATTTTTCATTAAAAAGTCAGATCTACAGAGAAAAGCAGAGACAGAAAGATCCTCCATTCACTGATTTACACCCAAGTGGCCGCAAAGGCTAGAACTGAGCTGCTCTGAAGACATGAGCCAGGAGCTTCCTTTGGGTCTCCCGCGTGGGTGCAGGATCCCAAGGCCCTGGGCTTTCCCAGGCCACAAGCAGGGAGCTGGATGGGAAGTGGAGCAGCCAGGACACATCGGATCCTGGTGCATGCAAGGCAAAGACTTCAGCCACTAGACTACTGTATCAGGCCCTAAAATTTTGTTTTAAAATTAAAAACATTTGAAAATTTTGCTCCGTTCTCTACCCTGCTACTGTTTACTTCTGGTATAGTCTGTAATTCAGTTTTGAGCAACATTTGAGAAGTTGCTTCATTCCAGGCATTTTTCTAGATATCTTCTAAACAAATACCTCATTTGACCCTTGCATTAGTGCTGTATGGTAAACACATTTCTAAGATGTAAGGTACATAGTACATTTCCCAAGATGATTAAATTAAAGGCTTAGGAAAATCTTGGCATCTCCCATTCTCCGTTCTTGCTCTGTTTCAAACATTTTATGTATCAATTTCAGTTCCTAAAGTTGCTAAGTGTAAGATACCTTGAAAATATATCACCATCAAAGAAAAAGAAAAAAGGGCCCGTTGCAGCTTTGGCTGTTGTGGGCATGGATGGGGATAGAACCAGGGGATAGAAGATCTCTCTTGCTCTCTTTCAGATGGACACAAGTGAATTCTTAAAACTAGACAGATGATATTATACACTGAATTATCAAACTAGAGTTCTTCATTCAATTACTGCCATCATTACATTTCTGAGTGTTTTAAAAACTTAAAATGTTACTGCTATTCTATTGTTAGCATTTAGCTGTAATTACAATAAATGCCTTTACAAATGTGCTCTCAAATTGATCAAAGATTCTAACCTTTTGAAAATAAGCCATGTATTTGCATATATTACAATACTCTGAAACGCAAGTGTTTGTTTATATATGAAAGAATCTTTCTTTTTTTTTTTTTTGTTCCCAGGCTTTGCAAAACGTTTTTCAAAACCCAAAGGACCAAGGAACCCACCGTCAACCTGGAATATTTAATATAACTCTGCAGTAAAAGAATAGAGATTGCAAGTACATCTGTAAATAAAACCACTAGAATACTGCTAAGTGCAATAAGTGCTCTCTATTCTAAACAGCAATAATAAAGATGTGCTAAAGTGTTAACAATATTCAATATGCAAACAAGTGTCAGCAGTTTTGCATTTTCATATCACTTACATTGGATTGGAATCTGCAAATAAAAGGCTGTTACTTGAGCTTATGTAAAGAATCCTGCTGGGGGTTTGGGGGGTTGGCACTGTGGTTAAGCTGCTGTTTGTCATGCTGGCATCTCACATCAGAGTGCCAGTTCAGACCACTCTACTGCCAATCCAGCTTCCTGCTCCCTGGGAAGGGAGCTCGAGAAGGTTCTCAGGTGCCAGGCCTCTTCTACCCACCTGGGAGATTTTGACGGCGTTCCTGGCTTCAGCCTGCTTTCAGACCTTGCTGCTGTGGGCATTTGGGGAGAGACAAGTTTTTCTCTCTCTACTGCTCTGCCTTTCAAATATATAAACATTTCCTTTAAAAAAATGTTGTATGAAACTCACTGTTTTAGAATGAATTTTTCATTTGTAGAAGTTACTTTTACTTTTCTATATTAATGCAAACTTCAAGAGCCTTGTTAAAGAACCGCATTGCTTTAGTAGTTTAAAAAGGGGGTCAATGTTGTGACACATCAGATTAAGCAGCTACTTGTAGTGCTGGCATCCTATTTGAAAACTCCGGGTCTGACCCAGTATAATAGCTCAGTGGCTAAATCCTTGCCTTAATAGCACTGAGATTCCCCTGGGCACTGATTTGTGTCCCAGCCACTCCACTTCCCATCCAGCTCCCTGCTTGTGGCTTGGGAAAGCAGCTGAGGACGGCCCAGGCCCTTGGGACCCTGCACCCACGCGGGAGACCCGAAGATGCCACTGACTTCAGATCAGCTCAGCTATGGCCATTTTGGCATAAGGGGAATGAACCAGCAGATTAAAGATTTTTCTGTCTTTCCTTTTCTCTGTAAATCTACCTTTCCAACAAAAATAAATAAATCTTTTTTTTTAAAGATTTATTTTTATTATTTTTTATTGGAAAGGCGGATATACAGAGAGGAGAGACAGAGAGGAAGATCTTCCGTCCGATGATTCACTCCCCAAGTGAGCGCAACGGCCGATGCTGTGCCTGTCCGAAGCCAGGAGACTCTTCCGGGTCTCCCACGCGGGCGCAGGGTCCCAAAGCTTTAGGTCGTCCTCGACTGCTCTCCCGGGCCACGGGCAGGAAGCTGGAAGGGAAGAGGGGCTGCCGGGATAGAACCAGCGCCCATATGGGATCCCGGGCGTGAAAGGTGAGGACCTTAACCACTTGTGCCACCGCGCCGGGCCCGTGGGAATTATTTACCCAAGTGGAGTCTTTCACATCTTCTCAAATATTGTGGCAAACTAGGAAGAAAAGCAGTTACATCAAACAGATGAAAGTGTGGCAACAATGACAATAGTCATTTTTGTTTTGGTATACTAACACTGAACACATCTGGGTAAGTGTTACTCATTCTTAGTGAATCATGAATTCTAGAAAGAGTCCATGACATTGGTATCCTATGGCAACCCATTCTTCTTTTAGAAGGTCCTGCCCAAACCTGTGCAGTTTCTACCTGATCTATCAGAGGTGCTGCTAATTTAAAACATATTTCTGTAAGAATATGGATTTGTCTTAAGAAAATCTTCCATTTCAAATCTAACTTTATGTAACAAGTTAATGAATAATTGTTACAATGGATTCACAGGACAGCCCTCATGATTTAACATCCTTTTAGCTCTAAAAAAAGTTAATAAATTTACAAAAAAAATGTACCACTTAGAGCACAGCACTGTGGCTTAGTGGCTGAAGTCCTCACCTTGAATGCACCAGCATCCCATATGGGCACTGGTTCTAATCCCAGCAGTCCCGCTACCCATCCAGCTCCCTGCTTGTGGCCTGGGAAAGCAGTCAAGGACAACTCAAAGCCTTGGGACCCTGCACCCACGTGGGAGACGTGGAAGAGGCTCCTGGCTCCTGGCTTCGGATCAGCTCAGCTTTGGCCATTGTGGCCGCTTTGGGGTTGAATAAATGGACGGAGGATCTTCCTCTCTGTATTTCTGACCTGAAATTAAAATAAATTAATAAAATTTTTAAACGTATGACTTAAATATTGTTCTTCAACGAGAGGGCAAATTGAATGGAAGAGTTATCAGGAACCCAATGGGTGGTCAGTATAAACTTTGCTCCTTGCAGTAGCGTCCATTTACTTAAGCAATTCTTCAGAACCAGTGGTATGAAACCAGTGACTTTATTTGTTGAGCCTGTTACTTCCAATTCTCCATATCAGTATTAAAAAGAATCCTTGGTAAGAGCGAAAGTGATAAACTTCCTAAGGATTTCTAAGCAGCAGCAAACTTGTGTGAACAGTAACGAGTTTCAAGTGTTCTGTGGCAGACACTTTCCAAATTTTGCAATTAAGAACTTAAAAAGAAATTTTTTTTAAGGCAATGGTTCCCCATCACCAAGCAAACAGGCTGTTAGCTACCCGTCCAGAGGTCGGGAAGGGATGCGGCTCGGCGGCGCCGCCCTCGCAGCACCTGCCTCGTGGAACGCCACCACGAGTGAACCGTGTGTTTCCAACCGAGTCGCCTTCATTTTCCATATGACTACATCATTTTTTCCCCCTCTCACCCCATCGCTTGTGAAAGGTGAAAAGGCTGGCGAATTCTTTTACCTCACAAAGCTTCAGAGGAGATCACGAAACTTCAAAAGTCACCATGGAAACCGCGACCTCCTCGGGTTAAACAAACACACACACACACACACACACCAAGGAAGCGGCACAGGAAGACGAGAGCGGGAGCGCGCCGCGCCGCCACACTCGGAGCGCCATTCACATTGTTTGGGCCGTTAGGGCGGTTGGCGGTAAATCGCCGCCCAGCGGCGGTTGCGTCGCAGCCCGAAGCGTGACTCGGCGCACGCTCCCTTTCCGCTGCTCGGCTCCTCCACTCAGAGCCGGGGACGCGGCGCTCCCAGGAGGCCTTGCGCGGCCCAGGGCGCTTTACAATAGAAGCTCGGTCGGCGAGGCCTGCGGAGGAGCGCTAGGGGAACCGCCGCTTCCGGCATGTTCAGCTCCGGCCGGAGAGCCGCCGACACATGGAGGGCGGGGGAGAGACTCCAATGCCCAGAGGGCCCTGCGCGGGCGGCGCTTGCGCGATGCGCGGACGGGGGGGCGGTCGGGCCATTTAAATGTGTGTTTGTGGGTGAAATGGCTGCGCAGGTCGGAGCGGTGCGCGTAGTACGGGCGGTGGCGGCGCAGGAGGAACCGGACAAAGAGGGAAAGGAGAAACCCCACGCTGGGGTCTCGCCGCGGGGCGTGAAGCGGCAGCGGCGGGCCAGCAGCGGGGGTTCTCAGGAGAAGCGGGGGCGGCCGAGCCAGGACCCCGCTCTCGCTCCCCCTCACCGGCGGCGTCGCAGCCGCCAACATCCCGGGCCGCTGCCGCCGACCAATGCAGCAGCCCCGGCCGTCCCGGGCCCTGTGGAGCCTCTGCTCCTGCCGCCTCCGCCGCCGCCTTCGCTGGCGCCCTCCGGGCCCGCTGTCGCTGCCCCGCTCCCGGCCCCGGGCACCTCGGCCCTCTTCACCTTCTCGCCCCTGACGGTGAGCGCGGCCGGGCCCAAGCATAAGGGCCACAAGGAGCGGCACAAGCACCATCACCACCGCGGCCCCGATGGTGACCCCAGCTCCTGCGTCCCGGGCGATCTCAAACACAAGGACAAGCAGGAAAACGGCGAGAGGACCGGAGGACTGCCTCTCATCAAGGCCCCCAAGAGAGGTGAGAGCGGACGAAGCGTTCGCCCGGGCTTGGGCTCTAGGTCTCCCTCGGTGCCGTTCCCCTCCCGGCCGCCGCCCCCCCAGCCTCCCAGCCTCCCCAGTCTCCCCGAGCCCACCGCGGTGGACCGTGGATTGCAGACGGTCGGCACAGAGTGACCTACTTGAGGCTCCCGGGGCCGAGCTGTCAGTAACCCACCCCCTTTCCCAGTTCCCCGGAGCCCTCGCGACGATTGTTTTCAAATTCGGCTGCGTTTCCGCGCTGCACGGAATTAGTAGGTGGGGTGCCCAAACTGCCTCTCTGCAAGTAGTAGCCACAATTCTCTTCTTCCTGTTTGCCTTGCTTGGAAGCTTTGGTGCTTCCCCCCCCCCCCTTTTGGTTCGAAATATTCAACAGGGAATGGGTTCAGGGCTTCAATGAGTTTGAATTCTCATAGTAGCTCCACTACTAATTGCTTGACTTGGCTGCTGCAAGGTAAACTACCAAATGCAGATATCCAGAGGTTAAATTTGTCTCTTCCTTTTTTTTTTTTATTACGTGAGCAATTTTTATCCTTACAGTAGGTCCTATTTCCCATGAAATAGTGAAGGTTGTGTACGACATATGGTAGAAGCAGGAGTTGTAGTTGCATTTTGTTCTAGGACCAAGACAGATTTTTTTTTTTGTCATTCCCATCACCCGTGAGAATTTTTTTAACATGTAAACAATGTGGCATTCTCTGACCAAGTGCGGCTCTGGAGGAATGGGTTGGCTGCAAATTGGTGCCTGCATTGGCCAGTACCTGTAGCATTGCTATGTGTTCTTTGTAGAAGAAATGGGATATGCTTTCGATTATGCCTCTTGTTGGTACTTTGTATATGACGTGATCTAATGTGTTAGTTGTATCTCCTCAGGAGCATTTTAAGATGCTTGATGTTTCTTAGTCCTGGGAGGTGCAAGTGCTTAGGTAATTACATTCTAGTAAGCCTGAATTTCAATCTATCAAGTTTTGGGAATTCTTTTTGCATAGTTGGGCTTAACTTAGGGCTAACCAGCATAACCAGCATTTCATCGTGCTGCTTGCGAATCGTGCAGTTAGTTGCAGATAATTGCTGGGTAAGTATTTATTAAAATAGAAGTCAGGCAGCCTGCCCTCGACAGGTTCTAGAGCTCAGGAATGAAATTTGTGGTGGTAAGCTGGCAGGACTGCCAGGTTCCATCAAGGTGTGTGGCGGTGATCTTGCCTTTTTTTTTTCTCCCCACGTTCTCATTTCTTTTGTGTGTGTCTCTGTGTAACCATATAGAGGTAGAGGGAATCGCAGTGATCATTTGGTTTCTGTTCCTCTTGTGGAAGGGGAATCGAGGCTCCAAGCAGTGTAGAGACTTGTCGAATCAAGTCACAGCTATTAATGTGTACTAACTACAACAACAACAAAAAAACCCTTCGATGTTAAGAGCATGAGTCATGGCATAATCGTAGAACTCAGGCTCTCAAATCCCAGTTCAAGCTCCCCTCCCCAACACTGCATGATGGGGCCTTCTCTCCTTGCTGCCGAGGCTTCCTGTCCCTTTGCTTACCTTTTTCCTATACCTTGACATTAGAGTGAAAGTAGCCAACTGTAAATCAAGCATTGCTGACCTAGTCCCCTTTTATGTGAGGATGGCATTGATAACATTGAATATTATTTCCTAGTGTGCTTCTCGAAAGATTGCACTGGCCCCGTGTATTTTTTTCTTCAAGTGTCTAATCCAGCGCTGATGGGCAGTGGTTTCTCAGGTGGCAGGAACATTCTCTTGCCTGCGCCATCCAGTATGATGGCTCTACCAGGCCTTGCAAATGAGGCTTGTGTTGACTGAGAAACTGAGGTTCTCATTCTATTTAATGCCAGTTAATTTATAATAACGTATGACTTACAGCTCCCCCCACTCCCGTTGGAAAGCACAGCTCAAAACATTTGTATTTTGCCAGTAAGTGAAGATGAGAAATGGGTTAAGATCAGGTTGTTTAAACATCTTGGCTAATTGTTTATTGGTTTATACGCCCCACCTATATAACCTGGGAGGAGGAGGGTTGTCTGGTTTGGTCGGATAGGTTCAGGAAAATCTGTGTACTATAGCCTTCTAGATGGGGGACATGCATTGGCATTTTAAAAGTTCCGAAAGCCCCATCCAAAGACTAGTTTTAACTTTTTTTGATCCAGCTTTTTGCATAGTTTGACCGGCACATTTTTTCCCCCCTTTCCGTCATCTTTTATATGTTACCATGCAGGACTCATGTCTCTGGCGTTATCATGAATTTTTTCTTTTATCCCCCTCCCTTAGATTTTGTTTATTTGATATTTCTAATTTGAGAGGCAGCGAGAGGAAGAGCCTCTCCTGTTTCACAGCCTGGTCTCTCTGGTGGGTGTAGAGGCCTTCATCACTGGAGCCGTCACTGCTGCCTTCCAGAAGTGTGTGTGAAGCTGGAAGCAGTGGGGAGCCGGAAGCAGGGGGCACCTTTGGCACTGTGATGGGGAAGACAGGTGTCTTACCTGCAAGGCTAAATGCCTCTCCCAAATCTGTGTTTATATTGTACTGCATCATGCCCGTGAATGCATTATTCCAGCTCTTAATCTGAGTTTTCCTGTCTGGGCTACTGTAGCTCATGTATAGGGGTGTTGTGTGACTGACGGTGTACAGAAAACAATTGAAAAACAGCCTCTGTGGGGTTGGTGATGTGATCTAGCTGGTAAGCTGCTGCCTGCCACTGCAGCATCCCCATCAGTGCTGCATTGGGTCCTGGCTGGTCCTTCTGACTTCCTGCTGTTGTGCCTAGAACCAGCAGCAAAGATGTTGTAAGTGCTTGGGCCCCTGCCCCCACAGTGGGATAGCTGAATTAAACTGCTGGCTTCTGCCTGGCCCAGTCCTGAGCTTTGAGGCCAAATATTTGGGGGTGATGAACCTGCAGATGAGTGATCTGTCTCCCTCTTTATCTTTCCTTCTGTCTGTAACTCTTTCAAATAAATAAATCTTAAAAAAAAAATAGTGCCTAATTCATGACTGGCACTTAGTTAAAAGTGGCTTTTAATTTTTATTATGCTTGGTCCTTGAATCAGCCTTTAAGATTTATAAGATGAGTCAGTAATCTTTGCTGTTTATAGAGCTATCTTCTTTTTGTTTGCCCTTAGATTTTCATGAACAATTTTAACCTCTTATTTCGAGATAAATGTTACAGAAAATTGTAGGGGCTGGTACTGTGGTGTAGCAGGCTAGATTTATGGTACGCCTGTGGCATTGGTGTCTCATACAGGCCTGGTGTGAGTCCTGGCTGCTCCAGTTCTGATCCAACTGCTTGCTTATGGCCTGGAAAAGCAGCAGATGATGGCTCCAATCTTAGGCCCTTGCACCTATGTTGAGACCTGGAGGAAGTTCCTGGCCGCTGGCTTCAGATCAGCTTAGTTGTGGCTATTGTGGCTATTGGAGTGAACCTGCGGTTGAAAGCTCTTTACTCTCTCTTTCTTGTCTTTGTAAAGTTTAAAAAAAAAAGAAAATAGAAAATTGTAGAAATAACAGAAGTACTTAGCCCTCACCAGATTTTCTTTAGTGGTTACATCTTACATAACTATATGATTCCAGTGCCAGGAAATTGATGCCGGTACAATGTGTGTGTGTATAGTTCTGTGCACGATTAGATCAGTGTATCTGTCACTGCAGCCAGAGGCAAAGCTGTTCCATCACCAGAAGGATCCCTCTCGTGTCAGCCCTTTACGTGGCTTTGAGTATTCCCTCTACTTCCCCACTCCCCCGTCTAATCCCGGCACCTGCTAATCTGTTGTAATTTTGAAAATATTATATATATGGAATCTATTTGAGATTAGCCTATTTTCATTGAGCCTAATGTCGGGGAGGTTCGTCCACGTTGCATTTGTATGGAGTATGGCTGTACGACAGCTCCCCTGTTGACCCAGTTATTTGTTAAAGGACATTTTGATTGTATCCAGGTTTTTCCTGTTATGAATGAAAGCTTTGTGAACATCCATGTTCAGATTTTTGTGTGGATATAAGTTTTAATTTATTTGTGGAATATATTTAATGAGTCAGAATAGTAAGTGCATGTTTAATTTTATTTTAGCATCTTGCCAGACTGACTTGTATATCATTTCTGTACCATTTTACATTCATAAGTAATGTATAAGAGATCTACTTTATGTGCATTCTTGACAGTATCTGTTATTTTCATTATTTTAAAATCATTTTACCAAACACACGCTATCTCTTAATAGCCTTCATTTGCATTTCCCTAATGGATAGCGACATTGAGAACTTTTCATGTTATCTTTTGCCATCTGTACATCCTCCTGAGTAAAATGTGCCTTGCCCATCAGATTTTTCTTCATTTTGTGTTTCATCAATTTTATATTGTAGGTACAAGTCCTTGCCAGCTGTATGATTTGCAGATATTTTCTTATGGTCTTTTGCTTGCCTTGCCATCATTTAAGCAAGATCTTGCACAGAGTAAAGATAAGAATGTACGCAGCAAAAGTTTTAAATTTTGCTGTTCAATTTATTGATTTTATTTTTTCTTTAGTGAAACTTGCTTTGTTGTCTAAGGTACCAAAAATTTTCTCCCATTTGTTTTGTACAAGTTTTAAATTTTTAAACTTTAATCTGTGATCCATTTTTGTTAATTTTGTATAGGAGTAAGTTTTAAATTGAGGTTTTTTGTTTTTGAATTATTAAAAAAATCTATGGCTAGCCAATTGCTCCAGCATTTTGTTGAAAGAACTGTTTTGCATTAATTAACTTTTCAAAAAGAAACACTTTGTAAATACAATCTATGAGGTAAGAATGGTTTTTATATTTAAAATATTTTTAAATTGTTTATGTGAGAAACAGTGAGAGTGCAGGTGCAGGTTCCCAGCCGCTGGTTCTCTTCCCCTAATGCAGTAGCAATGACCTTGGCCGGGGACCAAAGCAGGGAGCTGGGAGCTCAGTCCGGGCCTCCCGGGTCTGTGTTGCTGGAATTTACAGTCCTGAGATTGCTA